ACCATCGACCAGATATATATATGGCGATCCCTAAAAGGCGACTACACTTTACATGACATATAACATTCGACGACGCATGGCTTCCCTATTGACTCTACTCAACTTTAGATAACATTATAAATTTTATTTTTAAACATAGAATAATCCTATTAACTGACAAAAATTAATTCTAAACAAGAGCATTAGGATCCTAAGAAGTGATTAACATAAAGATTGAAATTAAAAATGCGAATTTAATGACTAAAAATTAACTTTAGCGATCGCTGAATATTTCTGAGTTCATGTATATAAATGTACAAATGTAGAGAGCGGGTAGAATGGGTAGAATGTAAGTATGTTAAATTATGCCATTATATGTGAGACTTAAAATTTTATTTTATTGAGCAGGGAGTTGGGTAGGGTTTTATGGGAGAAAATTTACGAAATTGGATGTAGTTTTTTTCTCAGTATAGCATTTTAAAGATTTAAATTTTCATATTTGTTTTTTTGTTTTTTTGTTTGATGACTTTAATTCACTCAGACTGCTTGAGTCGGCTTTATTTATTGTTAAATTTTTTTTTTTTTTTTTTTAAGGTAGTTGAAATTCTGTAAGAGTAAGACGTTGCAATTAACTCACTTTGTTTTTCCCTCGATGAAGCGCTTCTCGACGGGCCTGTGGAAGAGAATATCAACTACTTAAGAGAGCTAAGTTGCTCTCGCTCGCCTTGCTCACGCAATCTAAAGCGGTACGGTACTCTCAAAATTTACTTTAACTGATCTTTAGTGGTTAAAACATGGGAGAGGGAAGGGAAACGACAACGGGAAGAAGGGACTGTTCTGCTCTAATGCATAATTTTCATGTTATTGACCTTCTCTCTTCATTTAAATTATACTCTTAAACTACTTAACCTAAATTTCAGCTGTTATCTGCTCCTAGCGGCGTAAACTGCCGCGTAAAATTCGTTACTTTAAGTTCTAAATGTATTTAGAATTGCTTTCGTATTTCCAAGGATGGTTAATTCAAAATTTCATTTCTTTCTGGGCTTTATTTCCCTACGGCATATGGACTGTATGGCCGGTAAATGGTCCCTAGCCTAAATTTTGTTGGCTAGTGGGCTATTCTACAACATATAAACGTAGATGTAGAAAGTATCAAAAATATGTAGATAATATATATAAATCAAATTCTCGGCGCTTTGCTTGCTGCTGAGGGATCTCGGATTCTGCTGCTGCTGCTGGTGCTGATTGATCGGTTGATGGATATATAACTTCACTCCTGTGTGCCCTTTTGTTCTCCAGACGCCTCTTACGCCCAAGCCTGGCTTTTGGCGGACCGGGGTTATGTAATTAGGTGCCACCTAAAAACATTACGGCGTTCAAACACCACTTTATCAACTTCTCGCACTCAAAAAACTTACCCACTAGGGGTTGGCACTTTAGCACTTGTGTTTTTTTGGTTTTTAAGCCACTTGTAACGGCGATTGCCGGGAATTTTGGAAATTTTGGATTTCCTTTAATTTGTGTAACTTTGATCTTTGCACTTGCAACTAACTTCTTCTTCGATCCACTGGTAATTTTGGTGTGACTCCAAACGAAATTGACTTCGGGTCGGGACCCTGAGTCCGACCTGTAGCTCAAGCCTACTCACCAGTTTGGTGAAGTTTTGGGAGTTCTGGCTCAAGAGACTATATTTTCTACTAAACCATGTAGACCAAACTCTGTTGCCTACTTTTGGGCCGAAAGCAATCTTAGCCAAAAGACAAGCAATCCTACAGGTAGCCGAACATAAACAATTTATAGGATTTATTAAATTGGCCAAGAGGCTGCCATTGTTTGGCAACAAAGAGCCTCGGGTGACTGACGAACAAGGCAAACAAACAACAAACATTTCGCACACGGCCAAGGAAATCTTTTCTTCCTTCTTTCCACTCTCGCTTTTCCGGATGGGCCGCACGGCAAACACTTGGGGAAATTTATGACAATGAGCCAACAACTGTGAGTGGTCATAATATAAATAACAAGTAGGGCAGTCTGCAAAGGGGCGTTCCCGGTGGGCGTGGCCCGTGCGTAACTGGTAACTGACCGTGGCAAAGTGTTGTTGTTTTATGGGGGTTGGGTGCGGAGTGGGAAAGCGTTCGCTTAAGCGATTCAACGGCCCATTGTGCTTGATTGAAGAGGGAATCCCGGGCCGAGAGAGATGCTGAGAGATGGCTAAAGGGATTTCCCACTGCCCTGTGTGCGAGTGAGTGTGTGTGTGTGTGTGCGGCACATGAGCCTGCAATTGGGAAATTATGCCCCCAGGACGCACAGAGCAAAGTGAAAAGACGACTGCTTGACTTTTTGGCCTTTGCCACCTCAGTCAGTCGGAAAGTGGGTTGGTTTCCCTGTACATCCACTTCCCAGATTGGAGTCAAGTTGGCCGCATTCATTTTTTATGCCTGCTGTTGCTGCCGGGCACTTCGGCGACAGCCTGTTGAAATTTAAGACAATTTAAGTTAAACGGTTTGAACCGAAAGAAATTTGCCTTTCCTCCCCCAAAATACTTGGTAATTTGATACTTTTCCGAAGGCTTGCAAAAATCGTACATAAAATGTTTAGATTTATTATTGATATCCTAAAAAAAACGTAAGCTACTGGCTGGTTTTTAAATAATTCAATTCTTTATTTAGTAAGGTACTGCTTTGCTCTGAGCTGATTCTAATAAATTGTAGGTAAACTGTTTACTTGTAAACATTTGCTTTAAAGCACTCTGGGTAAATACAAGTACAACCCTTTCCCTTTCATTGTTGATTTTTAATTACTTAGCCTGCTCTACGTGGAATCCCTCAAAGACATTTAAAAACAGATGTCGCCAAAATGACAGGAAAAAACAAAGGCAAGGGACGCAATTTACATTCAACGAAGGCAACTGGCCGCAAAATAAAAAGCCAAAGAGTTTGCCACAAAGTTACTGAATAATTCAACGAATGTCCTGCCAACATTTTAATTTAAGTTTGCGCTTCGACGGACCGCAAGATAAGGAATTGCCGAAGAAACTGCGCGGGGAGCTGGTGGTATTTATTTACACTTTGCTGGCCGCCAAATGACGGCCACAAAAATTAATAGAAAAGTTTCCCCAAAGACACTCGGCAAACAGCAATGAAGACGCGAGGCGGAAAGAACAAATTATGCAGCAATTTCATTTTGATATTTTTGTCAACACAGGATGAAAGGATGTTAATGTAAATGACTGCCCCCAAAAGAAGCCCGCAAAAAGGGGGAAAAGAAAAACTTTTAATAATGTCTCCGAAAGGAGCGTTCTTTTTTCCTTTGTTTTAGGCCGGACTCCGGCGAAAAAAGCGAGTGGCCGCAAACTCTTGTTCACACTTCATTTATAATTCTGGTACCGCACGGCCTGGGCCTTTGTTGTGAGCCAGCCCCTAATTATTATTTCCATGAATTCGAGCGGAGATGAGAGTAAATTATGTTTACGATTGCATACCGGGTCCGTCGGTCCTGACTTGTTCACATTTATGCAGTGCCATTCGCTTTTATTTTGTCGAAGAAGTTTTTCTGTCTGGTTCCTTGGTCGTATTTGGCTTTATGGCCCACTAAAGACAGTTAAGGTGGAACTTTTCTTAAATCTGGTATTGTGATTTCAAGGTTAGGCTTTAAGTATAAATGCCATTTTGTTGTGTTTATTAATAATTATCAAAATGTGGAATAAATTTTTCAAATCGGATTATTCATTAAAAAGTTATGAGAAAAAGCAAAAGCAAAATTAAAAGCAAATTCAAAGAATTCTACAAATGTTTATAAATAAAATCGGTTTATACTATTATAATTTCTTTAAAAAGGACCAACATACAACAATTTATACACAACCATTTTAACACAATTTAATTCAATCGACTGTGGCAATGTGAAATGACCTACAAAGTCAAAGTCTATTTAATTACAAATCAAAGCAATGCATTCAACCGCTCCAGCGATATGAATAAATTTGAATATTTATCTCATTACATTGAATCAGCCCAATTTACACCTATTCCAAACGAATTCGTGGCCCAACCCAAACCACACACACAATGCCATTTTCCCCGCAATCCCAAATCCAAGGCATATGTTAACTGTCTGTACGTGCCAGACTGAAAATGGCTGTGTCTTAGTTCCATTTTCCATTTTCCACTCCCCAGCCCCCTAACCCCTTTTTCCTACCCCTCGTGACCACTCTGAATGTCTGACTGTCGACATATCTTAATTCCCATAACCAGGAGAAAGGCTGCATGAATTTCAAATTCAATTTGGCGCATTTTACATAATTTATTAAACAAAAGGCTCAACAACAACAAAGCGACAGGCGTAAGAGCAGCTGAACGTTTTATTGCATGAGCGACGGCTAACAAGGCACTTGTGTGTGTGTGTGGGCAGGGGGTTTCTATATGGCTGCACTAATATGTGTGACTGGGGGCAATCGTGGCTTTTTCCATAAATAATTTAGGTGTGAAGATTAAATCGTTGCGATATGGTTGAAATTGTTGACAACTTAATTTGTAAAGTGGTTTCTGCGGCCGGAAACGCTCAGTTTGCCCGGAAATGCTCCTCGCCTAGAAGTATGCAACAAAAATGATCGGCACTTGAGTCGAACAAACCGCGCCACACCATCCGGAAGACAACACGGCGCATACGTAATCTACGCCGGGCGAAAAGAACGAAAGGCCAATTGAATTATTGAAAAATTAACCAGCTCGCAATAAAAGGGGTAAAAAGGCATGAAGTGCATTTCTCGGCGCGTGAGTGTGTGAAATATTGCCTGAATAATGCAGAACACACTCAGGAGTTGAGTTCACTGCTGTTCGCAGCCGACTGTCGATTGCTGCTGCACTTGACACAACTCCACTTCGGTCTCTCTCCTCAGCTCCGCCGTCTGTCTGCAGTTTAATTGCCGTCATCTGTTTGTTAATTGCTACATAATTGTTTGAAATAAATTCACTTACGACTCGTTTCGCTCTGTTGTCCCGCTTCCATCTTTCGCAGGCAAGATGTCGCCAGCCATCGAAGCGCTGACGGGGCGTATGAGTAATGCGCTGCACAGTGTCGGGCACTTTTGATGGCCATGCAATTTGCATGTACTTTAATTTCCCACTGTCACATCGCCGAGTTGAGTGAGTGCCGTTTGGCAAGTGAACGAGTTGAGTGAGTGGCAGTAGCATGTTTAATTCAGGATTGGGTGGACCTGAGTTGCAGCCGAAAACTTAAACGATTTATTGATCAAAAATGGCCAGATTTCCTCAACATTTTGACATTTTAAAAGCAAATTTATAAGTCTATATGTATGCCATTATTTTATATGGTTTTAACAATTACAAATTCAGACAAAATTCTTTACAAAAATATAAATTATACATATTACAGCCAATATTAAATTTTTTTTCTCATTGGATTGGAAATAATTAAAATGTTCGTTTTCTGAAGTACTTTATTATGTTCAGTAAAATTATTTTCTAACAATATTGAAATTTAAAGTAATTTAATTTAATTTAAAGTTTAAATACCCGAGTCATACAGTGTTTTTTATTCTCCGTAAACTAATATTTTAAACTGTTCTGTGCTACCCACTTGAAGTGAGCAAGCCGCAATTATATTTGCATAGCTCCACCTGCCCGTAATGCAATCTACTGCGTTTGTCACAATCATTTATTAAAACGTTAAGCGCAGTTTAAGCGTAGCCGCTGTCAGGTGACTAAAGCCATGGCCAACACCTCAAGGACCCCGTCAGGCACTTCGCAGGAACGGAGTCCCAGAGTTCCGAGGTCCTGAATCCGACGAGATGGCAACATAAGTCATAAGGAGGGTGAACTGCAGTTCGGGGATGGGAAGGCGGATCCCCAGCACTCTCCTCAGCTGGGATGTTTTATGCTTTCGCTCACTTTCCGACACATTTTCGCACATACTTTGTTTTTATTTGCAGCACGCTCCGGGGGGCAAGCTGACTTGAGCTGCTGCAGCTGCCAGCTCCACTCCAGATGGACCCAGATTTTCCGTCCTGTGCCCGCGTGTCGTTATGAATAATGAGTTTTCTGCTGCACTGAAATCATCGCACTCGCCGGCTCTCGATTTAATTAAAGTTCTTAATGAGTTTTCCGAATCGCGCCATCGATCAGGTCGAACGTGGTATTGAAGCATTGTCTTGTCATGTAAAGCACTGGCTGGGTTTTTGGCCGGGACACTCAATAAGTATCCCCATTTTCCCAACATGTGTTTTCCGAGTTCACTTCGAGTTCATTTGGCTGCCAAGTTGGAGAAATGCACTTTTGCCGCATCTGCAATTCGTTCTGCGGTCTCTTCTGTTTTCTCCTGAATATATGAGTACATATATTGTCGGGTAGATATTTGCTTTGCATTCTTAGACACTTTTTTCGTACCATCCCCTCCTTGCCCTCACTTCCCTTTGCACAAATTCATGACATTCTACGGCTTGGGTTTTCTGTGTTGGATTTTGTGGGAATCTGGTTGGAATTCACTCTATGACAAAAAGTAAACAATTTGCACAAAGCATTTCGTATGCTACCAGCTGTAGTGTGCATTCCTGATTAACAGTTGCTAACCTGTTGGGTTTAGTAGTCAAGTTTCTATTTGTTGGATGACAAGGATCTATGAATATATCAAATATCTTTTTTTTTGCGGATATATATTTAGGATTCCAAAAATATGCACACGTTTTTTAGATGTTACATTTTATTTTAAGGCGCTCGCTACAGATTTTTAACTGATTTCCTTTGAACAAGATTTCAGGAAATTTTCTGATAATTTTGATAAATATACTTATTTTTTTTTTTAGACAAATTCCAAATTTTTATTTTTAATAAAAGGTATTTTCTTGTGTATTTTGCTGACTCTGATTACTCAATAGGTATTTATCTTACCTTGCCTGATTTAATTAAACCGCATAGGCTACAATGTAGCCCCAAAGCCGAAGCCTGCAATCCGGTTATTAAATCGTGCCTTCTGTTTAAGCCATCGGTAATCAAAATTCAATATAATCAGCTTGTTTTGGCACTTAAGCTTTAATGTAAATAGGCCTTAGTGCCGTCGGCTACCTTATTAAACACACGCACTCTCACACTCACAGATGGGGGTGGGACAGCCTACAGAGTCAGTTGGAAGTTAATTGCATAATGACCGAGAGCCGGCATTTAATCAGCTCGTTTGTCAACAAAGTGCAAGTATAATCAGTTTGTGGGCGGGGGGTATGGAAATAGAGCTCGGCGGCCAGTGAAGATTTGCTGGCCTTGTCAAACGCTAAACTAATTACGTATACGCAATGTGATTATGAGCTCGCTGCTGATTAGGCTCCGTGGGTGGCGAGAATATGGTCGAGTGCTTGGTGAGCTTGTAATGGGCCGCAAAGTGTTCCGGACGACGCCATAAGCCGCAATAATGACCCGCACAAGGAGCATCTGCGATACGAAATAAAAACAATGTGCTCGTTGTCCAAATATTGGTTGACATATTGCGGATTTAAAATGATTTGTGGCTGTCAATCCCCGGGAATTAAACAAATACATTTGAATAATGCGAGGCAATCAGCAAACAAAACGCAAGACTGATTGCCGGCAATAAAAGTGGACCATAAAAAGCGATAACATCATATTTATAAGCGCCGTCAAGACCCACGTCCCACGTCCTCAGTCCAAAACCATCTCCCAAGGCGCCGGCAAGCGTTGAAAGCGATTATATGCGTAAATATAAAAATGGCAAAAAGACAAATAAACGACAATAAACGGCCAGCAGAAGTATTCCTCGAGCTCCATCATTCCTCCTCCGCCTCCCAAAGGCATCCCGGCCGAATAAACGAAAAAAATGGCCAACAAAAAAGATGGGCCCATAAAAAGGAAACGGAAGAAAAGCTCAGCGAGGACCTAAGCAGCTTACAGTGGGGCGAAGGTTAATATTTTTTGGGAATAAATATTTTTGGTACAGGAAAACAACTCTTCTTTAAAAGATAACCATACCTATAGTTAAAATGGTCTATGGACCATTTTAAGATTCCGAAATTTAAGTAATATAAAAATTCATTGACAATTCAAAAGTATTGTACAAAGCCTGTACCAAACTTTTTGTAAAAGGTTAAATAGTCAGCTGATATAGAGATTTAATTTTATGTAACTGAGTTTCGAAAACTCATTTAAAAAACAAAGTTTTGAGTGGTAGTCTAAAATTTTATTAGGATTTTTACCATATCCATCCACTGTACCATAAGTTTATATGCGGCTATTGCCGAAAATCGAGTAGGCAGCACGTCTGGGCCAAAGTTTCCTTTTGTGTGTGTCCTTTGTTTATGACCGCCATTTGGTTTGCGGAGACCGTCGAGATTATGCCGGAGAATGGGAAGGTGAAAGCTGCTTTAGGCCTGGCTAACTCGCCGTCACCACAACCTGTAATCTCTCCTCCCATTGTGAACTGTAATTCCGTCAAAAGGTGGGAAGCGACTGCAATGCAGATTGGCTGCGCATCTGTGAAAGTGCTGAAATTTTAAATCTACTAAATGCAGCCTTTAAACTACGTATTTGAATTAGCATGCTGGCTAAATGCTCTTCAAAAACAAAGCAAATAAACACAATTACAAAAAGAGCTGATTAAATTTGCATTCAGCGAGTGTTTAAAGTAATATTTTTTTAAAGTTTTTGTTTTTATTTATTTCAGGGTATTTTGGAGCATTTTATATTAAACCAAAAAAAAACCTTGATATTTTAATTAATTAATTTTTATTTTGTATAATCTTTAAACTATTTATGAGTTTAGATGTTTTGGTAAAAATATTTTTTTGTGGACTATTTTAAAACTTGTACTAGGTATCAAAGCAGCCCATAACAACTTGGGTTTGGGGTAGGCTCATTGAAAGTGGCTGGCTGTTTTCAGCTCGCACATTTCCCCGTTGCGTTTTGTTTGCTCAAAGTTCAAAAGGCAGTTTGGGTTTTGGCGGGAACCTGCCGCCGTCGAGCCTGACAAATTGAATGGTTGCCCGCGTTTGCACAAAGCGGCCAATGGGTGCAGGTGGACACAGGACAAACAGAATCTCGGACGCCACATCCTGAATGGAGCTGTGGAGCTCGGTAGCTCTGACTGATTGACTGGCGTTTAGAGTCGAGAGTTAGGAGTCGAGGGGAGTCATGCAAAGTGTTTGTGACCCAAACACAGGAGCTAAAAAAAAAATCAAATTAAAGGCAAAAACTTAAATATATAAATTACGAATGCAAAGGCTGAGCGCCGTCAAATGGGCTTCATTTTACATTGCCAGAATGCCAGAGAATGCCAGGTGCTTTTCGGCAGGATTAAGGCCAAAAGAGTCAGGGACAAATCTCAGTGGCGATAAAAAGAGCTGCTCATTAAATGGCAAGGGGAAAAGCGAAATAGCACATTCAAATGCCGGGAAGCTGCAGAGTGCAACCTGTCAGGTTAAACTTAAAAAATAGAAAGCCACGAAAGAAACCAGGAGGAAAGGCAGCTAAACTGTACGAAAAACGTGCTAAAACGTAAATCAACAGCGAAAATCGTGTTGAGCATTTTTTCCTAGCTGAAAAGGCATAAACAGCAGCTGCTTTCCTCCGGGAGAAGTGAAGTTGAAAAGTGCCAGCACAAAATGAGAAGGATGGGAAAGGACATCTGGGGGGCGGTAAGCCAATGGAAAGGAAGAACAGGAAACGGCAGCAGTTGTCCTGCTGGCCAAGACTGCCAAAGTACTGGCCAAAGTGAACGTAATTCAATATGCGGCACCGTGTTAAAAGCTGTAAAAATGCTTAAGCGTTTTTCAATTTACCCGGTTTTATGTTACGGCTAAAGCTTGAAGCGTTCTCCAGCTAGCTCCAATTTCTTTAACGCTTGTTCGACTCATTTGTAAAGTGTTTGACACGCCCATAAAAAAAGGCAGTCAGGACGAATATTCTCGATATTGCAAATAACAGTCACAAACAAATTTGACTTCTTTGCCATCGGGACAAAGAACATTGCTAGTTTGCAATTTCCGTCAAGTTTTTATTTGAAAAATTTTCTGCCCAACACCTTTCACCTTTTTTGCAAAGTAAAACTTTCCGCTGCAGCTGTGGGGAAAATGGGTAAAAAGTGCCAACGCAGCCAGAAACAATTAAACTTGAACTTTTGTCATAGAGCGAGTGCAATAAATGAAACTAAAAACAGAACGGAAATCTGAAAGCGCAGCAGGAATTTCTGCCGTATCAGCAAAACATGGCGACAGACACCGAGTTTCCTGTCCTGTCCAAGACCAAGTTTTCGGATGGCGTGGCTAATTAATTTTTGTTTATCGCCCATATGGAGCGGGCAGCCAAAATTCCGGCGGAGAAATTAAATTAAATTAATTAAATGTTCTAACGCTCTTCATTTCGTTCGTTTCGCTTGCAGGCAAACACACGCGACTGGACAGTCAGCAGACGGCACAGGAAGGTAATTAATATCAGCACTCATTTCTCCTTTTACGAGGAGGCCCTTAGCCACACGGGACGTATGCGCAATGTGCCGCAGTGCAGTGGAAAGCAAGCAGAAAATATCTTGTTCCCTTTCTGCTTTTGCTGGCAGAAAGGGATATGGGGAATTAATTTAACGAAATGGACTGGAGTGCAAAAAAATAGTTTACCTAGAATCATTCCCGTTAACTCCTGTTTCAGATTCCGACTTTCCGCGATTCGCGGAACCCATTGCCAATGTCACCGTCTCCGTGGGTCGAGATGCCCTGATGGCCTGCGTGGTGGAGAACCTCAAGGGTTACAAGGTGGCCTGGGTGCGAGTGGACACGCAGACGATCCTCTCCATTCACCATAACGTCATCTCACAGAACAGCCGCATCAGCCTGACCTACAATGACCATCGATCGGTGGGTGTTAGCCTAAAAACAATTAAAAGAAAATCACAAAAAGATATAAACAATTTGCATTTAAACCGACCAGAAAAAGAGATCAATGTACTCGACACAAAGAAGAATAGCCGCGTGCCCAAAGCAAGATTGGCGTGTGACCGCAGCCATACATTTAATAAATACTTAAAGAAGAAATTAGAGAAAATTTTTCATAAAATTAAACTTAACTCTTAATACAAAAGAATATTTATTTAATTTATAAATCAGATATATAAATGGTTAAATATTGACTTTTTAAGTTATAGTTATAAAACTAATGTTATGTTTCAATCTCCTCACAATAATTGGTTCCGCAGTGGTATTTGCACATCAAGGAGGTGGAGGAGACGGATCGCGGTTGGTACATGTGCCAAGTAAACACGGTGAGCTCGAGAGTTCTGGGTAACTTAAGGGAATCACCCGTCTAATCTCTTTATCCCCGATAGGATCCCATGCGCTCGAGGAAGGGCTACCTGCAGGTGGTGGGTGAGTACGAAAACTAATCCTTATAGCTGTCCACTGACCCCCAGAGTGACCTTCAATTACCTCTCTTTCCCCCTTCTCGATAGTTCCACCCATGATTGTCGAGGGCCTGACCAGCAACGACATGGTGGTGCGCGAGGGTCAGAATGTCTCGCTGGTCTGCAAGGCACGTGGCTATCCGGAGCCCTACGTCATGTGGCGTCGCGAGGACGGCGAGGAGATGCTAATTGGCGGGGAGCACGGTAAGCGACCCTATTCCGCCGCATTGCACATGGCGTAAAGAGGTATTTTCTCCCCTCCCTTTCCCAATCCATTACCAAGTCAACGTGGTCGACGGCGAGCTGCTGCACATCACCAAAGTGAGTCGCCTGCACATGGCCGCATATCTGTGCGTCGCCTCCAACGGAGTCCCGCCTTCGATTAGCAAGCGGGTCCACCTGCGTGTGCAATGTGAGTAAATGTCAATCGATGGGCCACTCGGCCAAAGTTGGCTGACCCCTTGGCCCAGACGGAAGCTAAACAGTTGATTACTGTTACTAGAATATCATGCCATAACTTAGATTTACTACTGAACAAAAAGAGCACTTTAATAATATAATATCATTTATCTTTAAAAGGCCCTATTAATTTTTATATTGCTTTTTATTAATATTTCAATTTACAACCAAAAAAAAATCGACCATATGTCACTAAAACACAATTAAATCTAAATAATATCTAGATAACATAAATTAAATAATAATAATTCTATTCAACCGACAAATATCATAATCAGTAATATACAACCAATAATTTTTAGATATTCGTAAAATAGCAGCGAACTTTTAGTAAGCTATAACTCCGCAGAAAGTAATCAATTTTATAGTTTAAATGAATTCAGTGCATCAGCATTTTCCACCGTCTTTTTCCTGCTGCTGCGTAGAACGGAAACGGCAAAAATAACGTAAAATCCATTTTGGGCTCAACTCTTTTGCAATATTTATGCCATGTAGAAAGGGGAAGGGAATGGGAAATGTGGCTGTGACGAGCGCTGAATTCAATGCGTAAAATACACAAAACAAGGCAGCAACCCACTCCATCCCTCATGTACCTTCCACGCATTTCCAACCCCTGCTTCATGTTGCCAATGCAGTTTTTGGGGCAATAACCGCAACGCGTCCTCAACATTGGCATACAAAGCGGAGATGGAGGTGGGGTGGTGGGGCTTGTGGATGGAAATGGGTGGCCAACTTCCCACGCACTTGGCCAAAATCGACCAAAAGCTGCAGTCACGTTAAATTAATTTACCTGTGAGAGTCTGACCGTGTGTGTCGTGTCCCACTGCCTGCGGTTAAAAGCTTTAGAGATGGACAGATTATGATAGGATAAACCAAGCAACTATAGATTACTAACTGATCAGAAAATTGAAAAAGAAAAATTGAAAATTTACTTTAAAAGAATATCCCCATTTTGACAAAAAAAAATTACTTTTATAATTTATTCACTAATTTTAAATGAATGTGCAACCCTACGTCAAAATGTTTTTTTCATATTGAAACTCTTAACTATAAATATTTGAATTTATAAAGCATTTAGCTGCCAGCTTTGCCCAACTACCATCTCCATTCTCGACGCGCTGATGCACTGCGCTCATTTCACTTTGTTTGTTGGCGTTTGTTTGTTTGCTTGTTGGTTTGTCGGCAGGTGTTATTTTGTGCCCCCGTGATGTGTGCGTGGCCAAAATGCGTTCAACATTCGCAGAGCAGCTTTTGTTGTTACTGTGAGGGGGGGCTCACAACCAACCCACCCACCCACAAATAGCCATTTTCCCCCAGTATCAACAGCGGCTACAAAAGCTATTTACGCACACACACCCCTTGCCCAGATGGACGGCCATCTAGCAGACACAATCACTCGCTCCCAGGCGCACTTTTAATGACTGAGTGCATTTTAATCCAAAAACAGTTTGTAAACTCACGTAAAATGGTATGCAAAATTCTCGGTAAAACTCGGATGGTGCCGTAGAGCTGATGAAAAGTCCGTGACGTATTCGGTTTGGGTGGTATGGGCTCTCCGAAAAGGGCTCTTGAAAAACAATATTGTTGTTGTATGGTAGATGCAGCTGCCTGCCGGGATAATGGATTCAATTTAAAGATAATGGAAGTGGATTACTTTGTTGAGAACGGAGCTTGCAAAGACACCTAAATGTCTGTCTAAAATAGTGGAAAGCCTAATAAAGTTTTACAACAAATACACAGAATAATCATGATAATATACTTGATATAAAACGATGATCGATTTGATGTTATGTGGTATCAATTTTGACTTGATATGCGGGCATATGAATTCGATATGCTCGAAATGCATAAAACAGGCAAACAGCAAACAGGCGCATGCAATACCAGAAATTTACCATGCGCATATCGATTTAACCGCGACTCGTTTTTTTTTGTGTAGTAGTAAATTAAATGCTAGAAAAATAAATTAAGTACAGATTTTTATGGAATGATTCTCCAGTTTTATATTATTTAGTAAACATTTTTGTTGCAATACTCAAATTAATTTTCATTCCATACAGTTCCGCCGATGCTCTCGATTCCGAATCAGCTGGAGGGAGCCTATCTGGGCCAAGATGTCATACTCGAGTGCCACACCGAGGCGTATCCAGCTTCGATTAACTACTGGACCACAGAGCGTGGTGACATGATCATATCGGGTAAGTTAAGGTCGTAAATCGATCTTCTGAGGGACCTGTAAATCAAATCGATAAAATACAATAAAGAAACCGAATTTATTAACTGGAAAATGATTGTAAATAAGCTTACAATGTAATCATCATGCATACCAATACCTCAGACTCAGACTCCTCAGATTCGCTTAAGTCCGGCCCACAGAAAATTGTCATGGGAAAAGGCCCAACAAAAATAAGGAAAACACCATGAAAAAGCGAAAACCTCAGTTGAGCTGATCCCGTTTATTTCGCTTTTTCAGATGCAAGGGAGTGCAAGTGAATGTTGATGGGATGTTTTTTTGTTTTTTACAGTTTTACATGGAAGTTTTCGGCTTTTTTATGTACTTTTCGCCATAAAATGCGTTGCACTGTACATACAGTGTGACGGGCTTAAAATACACATTTACATGCAAGTCCGCACGAGATACAGAGACATTGTGGCATTTTGAACTGCTCTGCCTTAAAGTGTCTCGTCTTTATGGGGTGACATTTTAACAGTTTTCTTTTGATTGACACAGAGATTGAACATGTGTCAGAGAGTTCCGAGCTGAGGTCCAACAAAGTCACCTCAAAAGAATTTTCTAAAGCGATGAAAATACCCAAACTTCCTTCTATATTTTACATTTCTATAGTACACCCATATTCCCCATTAAACCTCGACTTAAAGTTGACGTGGAATACCCATATTTCAAACACACAAAATTATTAATTAACCTCAGTGCTTTCAAAACGCAATCCAAATTAAATATGGTCAAAATTGAAATAATCAAAACTAATAAATAACATATTTGATGCGCTGGAAATGGGCAATTCCAGCGTGAAATAAATACACAAAACACAAATTGAATAAAGAAAGTGGAAACTATCGGAAAATATTATTTTGTTGCGGAAATTATTTAAACATAATCACGTTGGCTGGCATATTTGCATGGGCGCCAAAATACCATTGGGAGTTGGAAATATGCTGCAGTTTAAATTGTGTGCCGGAACTCATGGCAATTGTTGCCAAATTAAAACGGAAAATAAATATAAAATTGCAATAGGGATGTCAATTTACATTCTGAGTAGATCAAAATATATTTTTTCTAAATGAAACTTCGAGAAACTACCACTCAATAGTCATTGGAATTCCTACTGCCTTGGGACAAACATCAAATCAAATACAAGCCAACCTTCATGACTCATTGATGGCAGCTCATATGCATAAAAATCGAGCTAAATATAGACGAGCCTTTGATGGACTGTCATTCGGTTTCATTTTATGCTTAAATGTCACTTTGTTTGTTCGATAAGGAAGACATAGCCATGCCCAAATCAAAGCCAAAACTACGGCCAGCCTTTTGCTGTCCCAGGTAGGAAATTCGGAGGCGGAAATGTGACATTCCATATGCACACACGCACAGGCGACAAGCTAAGCCGCAGCTAGGAAAATGCGAACTAAGATATGAGATATGAAAGCCGTGGCCATGATGTATGGCTAACAGTATCCAAAAGTTTGGGTAATAAATTTTAACCGCTTTTCCATAGAGTTTCATATGTTTTAGCTGTCTATAAAGTGAGCTACGGTAATGAGAGTAGTTTGAAAAGTTCGACTGCTCTTCTACTTATAACTTATTCAATAAATATTTATAATTAAGTATTTAAAAGATTTTAAAATGTATAAGAAAATGTTTAAGCAATTTATTGCGTACGTTTTTGTTTTTTATGATTAGATAAAAATGTTTTTACTATAAACCGACTTCCATGTTTACAAACAGCCCTCGTTTAACTGTCTACAGCAGATGCCATGTATCACAAAACGTATGGAATGCCAGTCGTCGGCAGGACAAGCAATTCTTCAGGCAGTTCAAGAAACCGAAACTTTCCTTTAATGCGGCGGGTATTAAAAGTATAAAGTTCCTCGAAAGACTTGGCAGGCAGGCAGGAAAAGAATTGCTGCCGCCGATGATTATGAGAAAAATTATATATTTGCGTGTCAGTGGGCCTTACATGTGGGACCTCGGATAGTTGTGGCATGTGCAGAGAGATGGAGAAGTATCACAAAAGGTGACTGGGGCTATAAAAAGAAGTCGCAAGACCGGGCCACATGCATGTTGGGCGCCATGTGGAAAATTGTTTTCCCTCATTGTTTGGGGCTGACGAAAAACAGAAAAACAGGGAAAACTAAAGACATTTGTCACAGGAACACACAAATACACACGGAGCTACAGACAAAGGACAACATGACGTATGGGTAACATGCGATATCGCCTTACAATGCGCCAAGCAATCAAAGTGAAATTAAGTTTATATATTTAATGCTACTTACTGCCAGCTACTTGGACTCGTTTTCCTCGTTGTCCCGAAAAAGTAGGCAACACAAAACGAAATGAAACGAAACGAAAATGGAAATGGAACGAAATTAAAGCCGCAGACGGCAGGAGAACAAAAGTTTTTCTTTTAGATTTTCACTGATTAATGAGAAAAGTTTTAGTTGGCGATGGCGATGGAAATGGCTGAAGAACTGCGCCAGTTTTAATTACACACACTCTCATGGAGGGGGAGGGATGGTATAGGGGTGGTATAGTATGGTATACTATGGCATGGGGCGTAATTAGTTGGAGTCCTCCGATTGAGAAGGCGACTCACTTCACTGCACATGGCCAGCAGTAGCAACAACCCAGTGCAGGTGACATTAATTAATTGATTTTTTCCCCTCACAATCCCAACCATAACGCTATTGCTGGAAAAATTGTCACTGTAATTTATGGCGCGCTCGCTTTAAAGACCGCCGACTGACTGTTTTCCGCATTTTTCGCACTTTCAGACACCTCGAGGGCCGGCGATAAATACGAGACCACATCAACCGTCAGCGGTTACACGAAATACATGAAGTTAAAAATCCGTGCCGTTGGTCCCAACGATTTCGGCACATATCGCTGTGTGGCAAAGAATTCGCTGGGCGAAACAGATGGAAATATAAAGCTGGATGGTAAGGAGATGTATAAACTGATTATACCCGTTACTCGTAGAGTAAATATTTTAAATAAATATTAAATATTAAATATTCTTGATCAGGGTCACTAGCCGAGTCGATCTAGCCATGTCCGTCTGTCCGTCTGTCTGTCTGTCTGTCTGTCTGTCTGTCTGTCTGTCTGCACTCAGAAAATGAATCGCCCTGAATTTTAGAAAATCGCCTATGGATTTGCTTCACTGGCGATTTTTTTCTTTAAAATAAAAAAATTTTCTACTGGTAAAGAAAATTTTCTTCCAATTAATCAAAATTCATTAAATTCAAGAAATATTCCAGAAATATAGAAAAAAATCGCCAGTAAAGCAAATCCATAGGCGATTTTCTAAAATTTTTTTTTGAGTGTGTCTGTCTGTCCGTCTGTCCGTCTGTATGAACGCTGAGATCTCAGAAACTACAAAAGCTAGAAGGTTGAGATTTCCCACACATATTCTTTGGCTTCCTACGCAGCGCAAGTTTATTTTAGCCGAGCGCCACGCCCCCTCTAACGCCCACAATCGCCCACTAACGATTTTAAAATGGGTCCTGCGCCCACATCTTTAAAGATTTCCGAGAAGTATAAATGCAATTTTGTTGTGTATATTTATACCTATCGAAATGTAGAAGACATTTTTCAAATCGGACCATTCATTAAAAAGTTATACGCAATCAAAAATTATATATCTATCTCTCTCGCACTCCCTTTAGCTGAGTTACGATTATTAGTCGGGACACCAACCCGACACAGCGTTCGCACTCCCTTTAGCTGAGTGACGGGTATTAGATAGTCGGGACAACAACCCGACTATAGCGTTCTCTCTTGTTTATTTAATTTAATCAAGCAATGTATAGAATCTTTTTACGTAACTAAAATTTATATTTATGAAGGCTATTTTAATTAAATAATTTATTGTTAACAGAAATGCCGACCCCAACAACTGCCATCATTTCAGAGATGTCCTTGCTCAACCGCAGCTATGGTAAGAGTCAATTTCGTTATTAACCATCGAGTACACCTCACTTATTAAAGTCTGCCGTTTAAAGTACACTTTAAAGAGCAAACTAGTTTGGTTAAAGGCTTACATTTGTATTATAACCAATTCAGAGCCATCCAATCAACTTCCTAATTGATTAAATTTCAACCATAAGCATCGTAGCATAATTTTTTTTGCTTGGTCATGAATAATGTAACACAATAATGGGTTTTTAATTTTATGCACTGCAAAGCACGAAATCACAGTCAGCACCAGACATTAAATTGGTTCATAAGGGCAGATAATCATGAAGGCTAAACCATTTTTGTTTAATTTCATAAAAGTTTTAAAATTTTAAACGTCATTTTAATTGTTAGCTTCGGTTTACAAGACTTATAGATTGGCTAAACACAAACGATAAGAGTCCTTAGCAAGTCGAAATTACAGTAATCAACGCGAATAGCCGAAAACACACAAATCATCGTGAAAGCACACCACATGAGACCGCACCCATTCCATTCCTTATATCCATCCATCCATCCACCTCTCGTTTCGTTTCGACTCCATCAAGTCAAAGTTGCATGCAATTTCTGTTTCCGTTTATTTTCACTTTGCTGGTTGTTCTCCGGCTTTGTTGTTGGGCCCCTCAAAGGGCTTTTAAATGCAAATAGATGCAAAATTAAATAAAAATACCTTAGCATACAATTTAACCCTGGCATCTGTGTAAATGTGTACAACTAAATTCTTTTTCTTCATTGTTTCCCGAACAACCTTCCTGAATTTGAATATTTCTTTCATGTTTTGCCCTCTCTCCAACCAACAACAACAACAACCACCGACAACCGACTACAACAACCGCCATTACTCACGTTTCGCGTTATCCCGAACCGAACTCTCCCTGAACTATATCTCCACTCCTTGACTGACGCTTGCTGCATAAAATTAAAAATGTGTAAAAAATATAAAGATGGCAAGAGACGTCATAGAAATAAATTTGACTCGGCTAACGCTCTGCCTGATTATGGGGTTGAGGAGTGGCGTGACGGTGCCCAAGGTAAGTACTATATCGCCAACAGCCTTTCATCCGTTCCAAGGATCCATCCCCTCTCCCCCTTGTATCCCCAAGAATCCCCTTTTTTTCATCGCTATCTCTTCTTTAGTGGCATTTTATGGACCGTGCTGCATTTGCGAGGCCAAAGTTGCCCCTCGTGGTTGCATTTTTCCTTTCATGGCTTTCATTTCATTTCAAGTGCGTCGCCGTGTGATCTCATAATTTCAATCTATTTTTTTGTGCCTTTTCCTTGGCCGAAAACTTGGACTGTGCATAATATGGCCAGCACTTTGTTGGGCCAAGTGTTTAGCACAAACGTTAAAAATTAATTAAATTTCCGCGTTCTGTGCGAAATGACGCTTACAGTTGGCTGCCTTGTTGTTATTTTCATTCATCCGCATTCCGCGGCAAATACAAATTGCACTTCGTTGCTGCTGCCGTCTTCTTGGATTTGTGCAGTGCCAAAAGCATTGACGGAAAAAGCAATAAATGGGACTTACAGCACAATAACTTTGGCAAGCAAAGATCTCATAATTTGCAAAGAGAATGGTGAAGGATGAGGGGACATTGCAACTTTAAATGGCTATAAAGGTTTTTATTTTCCTTGGGAACAAAAGATAATACATATCTTTAAAGCTAAAAGACCTACAAATATTTTTTTTAAAGTGGGGTAGTTTTAATTGAAGTTTTTCACTTTATTAGGGGATTTTTTTTTCAGGGGACTGTTAAAATCACTTTTTAATATATCTAAAAATTCACTAGATTACGATTCTCGTATGTAAATGAAGTTCATATTATGACCTACTGAAATCCGTGTTCTTTTATTCAAATAAGATTTTAACCTAACCTAAAGTGAAAATAAAAATATTTCTAAAACATTTTCATTCTGTCACATTCTAAATCCGTGTTAGTCATTTCACCCCGTTGTATATGTCTTTTTGGGTTTTGTGGTTCGGTGTTGATCTGTTGATCCCTTCTGCTACAAGTCAAATAAATTTTGCAGCAATAAAAATGCCATCGGGCGACAAAAACACCAACAACACCGAAAACAAGTGGGGGAGAGCAATAAAAACTAGCGACATTGTTGATTGACACTGACATTTTGGCCATGTCAACGACAAAGTCCATTTGGCTGCCCATCTATCTAGTATTTGTGCGAATGTGTGTTTTTGGAACGGAGGTGTGTGCAAAACACTTGTCCTGTTGCATTCGTTTTATGGGCTGTCAAATTTGGCGGCTGAACGCCCTCCGGATATGATAGTGGATATGGCCATGGAATTCCGACCGCAGCGGTCAGCAAATTAGCCATAAACATTGGATTTCAAATTTTCTGCTGCCTGCATTTATTCCGAATTAATCCTTGCTGAATTGCCAGGCGGAACGACTGGCATTATTCTGGTTTCCCTTTTTCCCAACTTATATTCCCGCCTTTGTTTATTGCATTTAAAATGCAATTATTTAAGGCACGCGTCCGTAAAATGCCATTCAACCGACTGCACTAATGAACTGATGCCCAAACTGCTTCAGTGGGTGCGTGGCTGGCCCTTGTCCTGCCCACTCGGATCCTGTTCCTTTTGGCTACAGAGTCCTGGCTCCGGAGGCATTCGTGCATTGCAAGCCCCAAAAAGGGGGCGAAAAGCGGAGAATGCAAAAAACCAGATAAAATGCCTGTTCATTGTGGGAGAGTCTGAAGATGGAGGGGGAGTGGAAACTCAGGCGATAGGATATCGTACCAAGGGCCTTTTCCTAGAGGGCCGTTGACTTTATTGATTCAACATTGGAGTTTGAGACTCCAAGTTGCTGGGAAACTTAATGAAGACGCTTAGCCAGCGATGCTGAATTTGAGAAGCAATTAGGAAAAAAGACTTGGGAGTTTCAAAAAAGGTTTTAAGAAATGGTAGAAGAATAAATTAAACTAAACTAACTCATAAACTAGTAATTTAAATTTAATAAAATTAATATAAATAAGGAAAGTAAATGTAAAAAAAATTTTAATATTTTTAAATTTTACATATACTTTTAAATTTTATAACATTTTCAATTGATAACTTATTATATTGGGAAGAAGAATTTTAGTAGTATTTAATCTATGTGTATTGAATTTAAGCTGGATTAAAAATGCTAGTGAAACTAAAACTAACTGCTGCAATGTGAAATAAACAATTAATGGTGGCATTCAATTTACTATCCAACTGCATTCAAAACAAACGGCTGGCAAAGAGTACCACAAAATGCCATTGGGAAACGCTTTTTTTGATTGATTGCCGATTGGCTGATGCAACGTTGATTTCTCCGCGAATCGTCGCGGCTTATAAATAAAATATCAAAAAAGGCCAGGCAAGGCTCAAAAAAAAGTCAGACAAAGACCAGGCCCAAACGGAAATATTTATTGCCTCACATCAAATGAAATATGCCATCAAAATTGTCTGGCTGTCGGGCTGACACCTTTTCGGTGTGCTCTCAATTAAGCGTAAATGCGGGCATTGACTGTCTGCCTCATCCGCCTCAATCTATATGCCGCTGACATCAATCAAGTGCCGAGGGGAAAAGAGGCAGCTTTTTGCTTTGCCTTCAAGCAGGCCGTCGAAGGTAAACAATCAAAGTGATGCTGGAATCCACGTATGTGGGTCGGAACTTGGGGGATTTCCGTTCGCAACACTTTTGAAGTAGGCTTATGGATCGGAAGGATTCCCCAATGATTTCGCTAAAATCACATACTTAACGTAATGATTTCAGTTGGCTTTTCGTATAAAAATGCCAGCTTTAAAAATCGAATTGGTCCCATTGTCCCGGCGCTTTCGTAGACAATTCAATTTTGCCTTTGGTCTGCCAGCTCGTTCGCAATGTACGCGCATCTATCACTTTATATTTATGACTCTGACTGTTGTGGAAACATCCATTCCACCAACAAACCATTCAGAGCCAAGGGAATGCGCTCTTAAAGCCCACTTTGTGGTTATTTATGGGGTCAGCCGACGAAAAGTCAAACGCCAAAGATTAAAAGCAGATAAAATATATTTAATAGCCCCCGCAGGCCCTGCTGCTCAATCAAAGAACCCATGACAGTGGGTTGTGCGCCGAAAAACGTACCCAAAGGGGTGGAAATTAGAAGAATATTGATGGATTTTTGCAATTAGCGAGCGATTTTTTTAAGTGGACCTCATTATTACTTCGGTACCAGCTCCGATTTCGATTGACATATTTCCCTGTTCTCAACCACTGTCCCTGTATTTTTACGTATATATCCGATATTGACGTGCGGTCAACAAAGTGCGTTCAATGACGTGCATAAAAACCGACAGCAGCAGCAGAAAACGCCACAAAGACACTCAATCAGCCAGAGACAGTGGGGTGTGGGTTGACAACTGGGAAAGTGGGAAAAAGGCGGGAAAGGGCGGACAAAGAACAGTGAAATATGGCCAAGTAATCGCTGTCCGAATGCCTTGACGTTATAAAGAAGTACAACGACGTTATAAAACGGCGGAATGTGCTGGTAAATATGTGTTTATAAAAAGCTGTAAAAAGGGCAACATCAAGGGGTCAACTAGCGGAATGGTGGTGTACATTAATTTTACAGTGATAAGTAAGGCTACTTTTCTGGGTCTTTATAGGGATTTCTACAGTATTATCACTGATTTTTATCTGTACATTTTTATACTTTAGTCAATATTATAATTAAATCATATTTAATTCAATAGAATCAAATACTATTCCATAAATTAACAAGTTAATTACTCCAAAATGCATCAGAACATCTAAAATAAACCAGAAGCATCCCTGCCATTGACGCTTTAATCCAGGGACATAAAATCAATGAGCTAACCGGCAAAGTAACCCTCACACGCACACAATGAACTATTAAGTGCACAGCATACTTTCCGGCAGGGAAGAGCAATTTACTTTAATGCCACCCAAAATCCATATCCCACTCGATGGCACAATCCCCTCGTATCCTGACCAGAACCCAGACCCCAGAACCCGTGATGATAATGTATCCAGTGCCAATTTGGCATTCGGCGAACGCACAAAATAAATGAAAACATAAACCCGACTAACCAAAAAACTGATTACTACATGCTTTCCCTCTCTTTCTCTCTCCCTCTCTTTATCTCTTTCTCTTTCTGTCTCCCTTAGGCAACCATGCTGGGAACAATGGCGATAACAATCAAACGCCCGTGCGTAATCCGCCCGGAGCATTTCACAATTCTGCAGGCTCACTGGCGCAGCATAATCTACTTGCTAAAATAATGCTCGGCATTAAAACGCAATCATTTGGGATTTTCAAACGTTTATCGAGCTCCTTGCCATCGGCGGCGGCGCAGGGCTTTCTCTGGCTGTCGACGTTATCGCCGGTCTCGCCAAGTCGGTGGCGTATGAGTAATATGGAAGGCTGGCCGAATTCACCGGAGACCGTTGTCAACAGCGATGCCGCCGTTGGAAGCTGGATTGAGGGGAGGAAGAGCAACAGCAACCAGAACAATATTACCAACAGCCCACCGAAGTGGGCGTGGCAATTGCGCATATTTCACATTGCTCATACGCCGTGTGGCGCGTCAACGCGGCACTCGAAATGCGAACGCCCATGGCAATCGCTGTGGAAGTGGAAGTGGCAACGTCAATGGCAGTGCCAGTGGCCAATGCTCATTTGCATAGTAATATTGGCTGCTGGATGTTTTGTTCGGTGGCTGCTGCTGCATTTTATCGGCCGCCACATCGGAACATTTTCTATTAGCGCGACGCATAGGCAACATTTAATGTGCACATTTTGGGACACGACCAGCCGTGGTGGTAATAAGGTTGTCGCCAAAAATACCACCTCCCAAAAAGCCAGGCCAAGCACCCTCGAAATGTTGTGCCCTCGGAAGTTTTCAAGATGAAATCAAATAATTGCAAAGGGCGCAAAGAAACTCATTTAGGGCACAAGCGGCTTGAAGAATGGAATGGAAAACCTTGGACAGAGGAGAACCAGAGCAGGGAGGAAGGGAAAGTCAGATATAGATATGTTTATACTAGAGCATAAAATGAAAATCATGTTAAGAACTTAGGAGCTGGCCAAAAGTGACAGCTGGGGATGATGTGCAGCAAGTAACGATGGCTACATCCGACATTCTGCAATTGCTGTGGCTTCGGTCTTTATCGGAAGTCAAACAAAATTTAATGTACCTACGTATTAGTATCAAAATGAATGTCGTTAAATACAAATTATTTTTTATTACAACAAATATCTGGAATATATATGATTTTTTATGTTCTTTCCTATAATTCTTCAATGGACACAGTACCAAAGCTTTGATTGAGAATCAAAAGGATAAGATAATGTAATACCTTTTTTTAAATCACTTTAAATCTTTTATGTTTCCGTTCAGGACTCACACTTTAATAGTCACAGCAGAATAAAAAGTGTTGCATTATGTTAAAACCATAATAGATCCAATTAAATGGAAATAAATTAATTATAAGCCACAAAAAAGGCAAAACAGGAATGGCAAGAAAAGTGTAAAAAACGGTTAATCAAATTTGCATTTAGATGAAAGTATTTACTCATACTCATACATAGCGAATTTACATAGTAAATTTAGCAAAATTATAAAACAAAACAAAAAAGATTAAAAAAAATGGCAAAGCAAAAAAGTGTTGAATTAAGTAATTTATTGGATATAAAGATGAAACTTAAAAACAATGGGAAATGTTTGGCTCATTTTTTGTCACAAAATAATGCTGTTAACAATACAGGCTTATTCAATTAATTAGTCTTGTATTGCATTTAATTTGTTTAATTTTATGTTATTTATGAGTAAGCAAAACATGTAATGATTAATATGTTCCATGAATACCAAATTGATTTAAATTCCTTCTTTATATTATTTACCTTGTTGTTGAGAATTTAATTAGAGCATTTATATACTCCCCTAAATGTAAATATTTAAATATTATAAGCATTAATGAGTATTAAATCAATATATTGAAACTTCGCTGTAAATATGAAAGACAACTATATGTGAATCTATCTATTAATTCTACTTAAGTAAATAAAAGAATTAATTAAAAAATAATTAAATGTGCTTTAGTTTTCATTTGTAAATAAATCTACCACATTAATCTACTAAAGTTGAAATGAATGTTAACGAGTTAATTAAATAAAAGATATATGCATAGATGTAGGACAACCAAAACAAAAACCGCAAGAAACACAACCAAATTTTGGAGTTAATATATGAAACCTATTTATTTAAGCCTACTTAAGAAGCTCAGAAAAAATTAAATATAAAGTCGGAATATTATACATAACACCTAAGCTAGCTGTAACACATATAAATATGTATTGAGCTATATATATGTGAGTAAGTGGCATATCCAAGTGACATATGTGTATTTAAATGTACGCAAAAGTTTACAGCAAAAATAAAACCAAAAAAACAAGCCCATCCCTATACTTTACTATAGTTCCCTTTCAAGGACGAAACAACCTCCAGCCAAGGATTATTCTGCGGCATTGAAACCATCCTGTGTTGCAGACAACTATGCAATTTTCCGCAAGTAACCAAGCAGAAGAATGAAATAAAACGCAGCTGGCGAATGCAGGCCTGGATTCAAGGGGGAAAAGGTAGTGCAAGGACTTTTGAACAAAGGATATATACATTTAAATGGAATTCTTAAAAATATAAACCTGAATATTCTACAGGTATGCAAGTATATTAATTTAAATACCATTTAAATGCAGAAGGGGAGGCAATTATTCCACTCCTGGAAGAGCATCTAATTGCCCCCACATTCAACAAATTAAGTGAAACAAAAAAAAAAAGAAACATAATGGATAAAAACAGAAGCAAGGCCACAATGAAGGAAAACGAGAGTAAATGCCTACACATGCTCAGACTTTATTTAAAAGCAGGCCAAACCGATTTTCCTCGTTTCTTTTATTTTGTTCTTATTTGCAGCTTGTTTATGGGAATTGTTGCAGCTTTTTTTGCCTCTGCTGAAATTTTTGCAGCTGCCATTGAAATGCTGCCATCGGTGTGGAAATGAGCGAAATTTCCAAGTAATTAGCAATGACAGAATGTACAGAATTCTGGCCGAATGAACAATATATTGTCGTCGTTTTTATCTTGTTCTCTGCAATTTAGTTGAAAGAAAAATCTTGTACTAGAAAGGGGAAAAATATTATTTGCTAAAATAAAATTCAGAATTTAAATTAGATAACTTGTTAAATTTTTACAGAAATAATAATTTAAAAATTCTCCAAATTACACTCTGAACTATTTTTTTTAGTTTATAGGAAAATGGAATGAACTGACTCACGTGCAACAAAAGAAAGGTAAAAAGGTGCTGGTAACTAAGTTGTCAGAGTAACTCGTTCCCTCTTGTCTTCCACGGGGCTTCTGTGCGAATGGAACAATCCCGGGACGAATGCAAGTGGAAAATTCAATTTGTAAAGTGCATAAAAGTAGCGTCAGCCGAGGCGGACCAAAAGCGACGGGATATGGTGGAGTCATATGTACGTGTGGCTGCTCGGCGCTCCGGGTGTTTGTTGTTAAACAAAGGCGGCAGCTACTATTCCCTGCCAGGGGGTATTTCCCACTCCATTCGAAAGCTGTTTACACACACTGCCATAACAAGGACCACGGCGGAGTCCAAGTGGCAGAGGCATAAACGTGAATGCAGCACCAACATTGTAATTAAATCTGCGTCAACATAAGAGCAAAAATGGCCAAGGAGCAACAAATGGCGACGACAATTTTCCCTGCACGTGATTGTGAATGGCCATGTGTTTGTTTGCCTTACTGGATGCTCACTTGTTGGCCTAGACAGGTGAACCGAACACATGGAGCATACAAGGATAATCCACTCAATCTGGCTCAATCAAGGATTGGTCAAGTTAAAAATGTAAATTACATTTTTTCAACCAAGAAAGAAATCTATTTCTATCCAATAAAAAACCTCACTTGCAATGCTTTCTTGAAATAAACTGCATTATGCTGCACTCAAGCCCAAAAAGTGCTCCAATAAAAGATGGTAATAAATCTGCAAGGCGCAGCTCGAATAAAAAATATTTACGAAGAAATATAATCCCACTTCTCCACTTCACATCCATCTTCCTTGAGCTATGTTTATTATCATTGGGCCTGCACGCATATTTGCGGCAATTAAGTGGGACCTGAAACGCATAAATCACGCATACGCCCCATTGAGCCCGCCCGTTTTGACCTGATTTGCTTCGATTAGACAAACGATAAATATCCCGGGTTAGTGCCTTCCCCCACTCGAGTGTTTTTATGTCGCTGAAGGGTTAAACAGCCGGCCAGCAGCAAACTCTTGGCCGCCCGAGCTTATTAAGCTGTATAATATTTTGACAAAGGTCCGGCGAAGGAGGACGATGGCAATTACCAGGGGCCATAGCAATATGAGTGGTAAGCCAACAAGGGGATTCGGGCGAGTAATGGCCGGATGGAGCGCATAACTTAGCGTTCGCCAGTTGGCCAGTGTTGACGCTTACATCCTAGGGCCAAAGGCCACTTATCATAACGCTCGAGCGTCTCTGCTCCAGAGCGACACGCACATGCGCCGGCAATTATGCTAAAAGCGTTGAATTTATAGTTTCCCACACTCGCTGGGCCTTTGAGCATTTTTAACATCTCAGCTCAGCCCGTCCGCATTGGCCACTAAATAAATGGCTTTTAGAGCACGCGTTAATGATGTTGATTGTGGCCCAGGGACCTCCTTCCATCCCCGATCCTCCTCCGATTTCATGTTAAATGTTTTATAGCCGCCACTGCGGCGAAAGGGGCAGACAGCACGTTCCTGTTGGTCTCTGTCCGGTTTATTTTTATGATGATAGATGGCCCGGCCGCCCCTAGTCGCTATCTCGCCGGTGCCTGTTGTCAAAAAGGATTTAATACCATATTTATTAGAGGTGTAAATGCAAACACACGACTCTGAGTGCCAGCCAGGTGTGCGCATCCTTTGGCCGCATAACTTTGTTAATGGCTTGCATGCCGGATAGTCCGGTATCATTTGAAAACAAATGGGAAAAATCGAGATCATGGCACAGGCCATAAAAATATGATAAATAGTGGCTTTTAAAATTTGTATTATCTTTTTTACATTTTTTAATACATTTTTTGGATCCTTTAAACAATAACTGTGAATCCATTAGTTTTTATTATTTTTGTTTTTTTGTTGAACTTTTAATTGTATTTTATATTTTTTATTTGTGTGGCAAATTTGTTTACCTACTCTCCAGATTTATTTTATACAAGCAACCCCTGTATTGAACTCTTTTCCGGAACTATTTTTTTTACACAGATTTCACGATTAACTAAACAGGTTTTTATGCCCCTAGGCAGGTGAATAATTCAAAACATCCTGCGCTTGAAATGCAAAGTGGGCATAAAACTGAAACTAACAAATAAAAATGGAAAAAAATTAAAGTGTTGGCAAAGCAAAGCATCCTCCCCGGCATCCTGAAAGAAAAAGCAAGCAACACGACAAACAAAAAAACAGAAAGAAAAACATTTGCAGCCCAAACTCATCACTCAAAGGCTGGGCCGTGCCACTCCCCCTTTTTTCTGCCGCCCAGTCTGGGCAACAAAAAATCCACATAAACAATCCGGATGCAGTGAAAGCGGAGGCGGAGATCGGGGCAGACCAGCAAAATGGTTTAAAACTCAATTAAAGTTTTAGCCGCAAAATAAATGCAAAAACGACGACGGCAGCGTCGACAGGAGGAAAAAATACTCGAGCACAACAGGAAAAAAAAAAAAATAACAACGATTTGGGAATACCCAAAAATGACTTCCTGATTGTTTGAATACTCTAACGCAATATTTTTACTGAAAGTTACGTTGATTACGAAGAGTAGTTAAATAATGAAAATTGTAATTAAAAAATGATTATTTAAAATATAAATAAATGAATACCTACTAAAGTGTTTAAAAATTATTCAATTTTAATATTTAGAAGAAGATTATGATTATTTTTATTATTTTTCTTTATTGTTTTCAATAGAGATATGTAGTGAGTTTTATAAAAAGTTTGCTTAAATATTCACTAAAATATAAGAGGAGTTTTACCTTAGCCATACCATTCTTTAAAAAACTTTGCATAAAATGAATAAATGTATTAAAAAGTTTAAAAATCCAGTTTTTATTCTTTTTTTTAGCAACAAAAAACATACTTTAGCAATGAGATTAAAACAAATCAACGAAAACTTATTTTAAATTGGCTTCCGTTAGAGAAACCAGTTTCGCATTCTTCCGCGCTGAAGGAAACCGCTGAAAGTGCGGGCCATCAGCGCTTGCCACGCCCACCGGAATAGCCGCCCCCTTTCCGCCCAACCATCGTACTTTTGATGGCTGTAATTCAAATGAAAATTACACAAATGAATTGAATTTCCGAAAAATGCAGCAGCAGCAGCTAGCGAGCTAGCGAAACTTTGATGAGCCCCGGATCTGGGATCTGGTTTTTTGGACTCGGAATGAGCGTAATGATTGTGTGTGGCGGTGGGTTCGAGTGTTTGTTTGTTTGTTTGCGATTAGTTTACGCGCCCCTGGTGCCAGAATGCCTTTGGCCACGGGCTGCACCTCTTTTGACTCGCTGTCGATTGGATTGGAGTGCAGTTGGCCTAACGAGTTGCTCGAGAGTTTCACGGCAAATGGGTTTGGGTTTTTGTTTTGGTTTTAGGTTCTGGGGTCTGGGGTCTGGGCTTTCGGGGGGAACTTAATGGCGCATTCTGGCCACACGCCGCCTCTGCCGCAAGAGTTTAAATTTGTTTTATTGGAGCGTGAAATCGGGTTTTGTTTTAAAATTTTGTTTTGTTTTTGGACTGATGGTAGAATGAGTACCGTTTGAAATCGACCCTCAAAAACATACTTACCCTCCTGGGTAAAAAATATCCCCGCACTCGAGGGAATCTGAGAATCTGCAGCTAGCAAAGATACAATCGCCTCGCACCTAATTTGAATGCAGAGATGTCATTAAAATTAAGGCATTTAAGTGGCCGACGTGCATTAAAATGGAATGTCCCGAATGCGGCAATGTGTTAATGACTCATTACACATGCAACACCACCAAATGGGCGATTTTCTGGCAACGGCAAACTTTTGCCACAGTTTGTGGAACGCGAATGTGGCTGAAATGCGGCAAAACATTAAGTTGAATTATGCAATAAAAATAATGCAATAATAGTTAAACTGGCACATGGCCCACAAAAACCCCAAAATATGGGCAGAGAAAATGAGAAATAGGGGCTTCACATGTGAACAGTGAACGGCATGATAGTAAGGTCGTACTATTTAACAAATTTACATGTGAAATCAGATGTAGAGATTTTTATCAAATAAGGAAACAAAATTTTGTTTTAATTTTTACAGCAAGAAAGCTTCCAATTTAATGTGGTATTTTTCCAATTTAATGTGCAACTAATTTTCCAGTTTCTAAACAAACATTTGGGCAGTTTCAGCAATTATGAGGTTTTGAAGAAAAACTGAAAATGCGGAAGAACTCTTTATTTATTTAGTACACCTTACATGAAATTCAATTTATAAATTGCACATTTTGAACACACACTGAGTTCCGATAGTTGGGTTAAATGATAGAATGAGGCACAACATATCTAGTAACGATACTGAAAACTGGGATCCGAACCATAGACAATGCAACCACACGGATAACCTGTAAAAGGCGTTCAACGAAAGTTAACATACAGAATAATTAAGCAACGTATGACAGTTAATAAAGGACCGACAATTAATCACACACATGTATATATTTTTGACATTTATTTTTGTGACACCAGCTAGATTTAAGTTCTTTATATAGACAAATTTTGTACAAGACTTATGTTAGAAATTCATTCGCTTGCATTTGATAAATATAATATGCAGTATAATCGTCTTGAAATAATAATATCGAAACGGCTTAGTATTTCGGTGTAGGGGATTGGTTACGTGTACTACTGTGGCCAACAACCAGCCAAATCTCTAGCCACCAAACAAGGGGAATCGGGTCCAAACTACTTGGCCAATGCTGTTTATGGCAACTGTTTTGTGTACAATTTGGGAGGCATGAAAGAAACGGGGTTGATCAAAAATTTATAAATATTCTCTTGGGTTAATTTAGCACACATATATATTAGGAGGTAAGAATAGAAGAGTAAGAGATAGGAATAGAACGAGAGAGATACCAAGGACCCCCAAACTTCGCCTTAGCCCTAGGGGCTAACATCTGAAACGAAAGAGAGTTGATCATTGGCATAAAAGGAAAGTATGTAGAAAACATGTAGAAAGCATGTAGAAAACATGGGAGATTATAATGCCTCTAGCATATTGGTATTTCTCCCCGCACAAGCTAAAGTAGGTAGTAAATTCATGGGTTTCAAACATAAAGCCTCTTGGTAAATTCATTTAGTTACAGCACACAGACATTCACAACAAGCCTTAGTTGTTTAGTTGTCGCTATCGTAGCGCTCAGATGCCATCACCCAGTGGACTAAATTGCAACACTTGAACTTGCCTCGCGGTTTGCACTGCAGGTGCTCTTTGATGTACTGGCAGGGGCACTGGAACTGTCCGCAGTGGCGTCCCGGCTCCAGGGGGGTCACGTCCACCAGGCCCCTGAGCGCCTCCATGCCCCAGCGGGATCCGTAGCGCAGGAACAGCTGCATGCCGCGCTCCTGCGGAGATTCGGGGGAGATCGGTTGGGTGAGACACGGGGCAAACAGATAGGGGGTGCAAATGGTTGGTGCTGGTGAGTCGGGTTAGGAACGTGTGGGCAATGGTAGTCGGATGAGGAATGAGATTAGTACATCGATACTACTGTGCAGCTACTGTGGGAACTGCATACTTTCCGGCAGCCACTGGAATTTGCAGCAGTAACATACATAAAATACAATGAATTATCTTAATAACTTAAGGTCGGTCTTCGAGTTCAACGGGTACTAAAAACATAAATACATTTAAACAGACTACAAATATTTTTAGTATTTTAAATTATTAAAAATACTTATCCTACATCAAAAATATAAAGCCACTAAAATAATAAATATAATGAAGCTTTGTATGGTCAACAACTAAAAACGAAATTACTGTTAATAATTCTAAATTTAATAAATACGTTTGTAACATAAACAATAATAAGCAACTTCATAAATTTTTATATAAGAATCTAAATTGTCTTTGCTTGTCAAATCTCGCAGAATAAAAATAAACTTTATTTAAATTAAATAAAATAATTTTTTTTACTTTGGTTCTTATCAAGAAATCTAGTACCTACTTTCGTTCTCTAAAATTAAATTATACTTCTTTTAGTTATATTTTTGACAAGCACTTTCAGTGCCGAAAATGCAGATGTGTCTGATGAAAACATAATGTAAAATAGTCGGCAACAATAAAATCAACATTTTCTCGGTTTTGGCTAAAAAATTTAATAGATTCTCGGCAATCTAGGAAACGGAATAATTTGGGATTACATGTCACACGTTTAGAGCCAGCAGCCCATGCAGTTGATGCCGCAGCAGTGGCGATGCTGCAGGCTGATCTTGATCTTGTTGCGCAACAACTCCTCCTCGTATTGGCACGGGCAGATGGACGACTGCAGATGGCGGGGCGTCTCGTGGACGCCGGCCTCCTGGACGGTCCAATCCAGACGGCGGCGCAGGAAGTCCTTGCCCCAGCGCTGCAGGTAGCTCAGAAACAGCTCCTGGGCAACGGCCTAAATGGGAGTAGTTAGACATTGGATCATGAGGGGCGTGAGTGAGAGAAAGAGTGCGATCCCGGGCGATGGAGATGAACTAGATCAACTACCCCTACTTAAGAACGATCCCCATTCAATAGTTATAATAAAATCGAATAACTCACCTGCTTGCGGGGCATTCGCACCGGCTGGCTGCCCTGTATGACAATATCGTTGAGGTCAATGTCCAGCTTGGCCTCCCAGCCCGCCTTGATGGCATCGCCGCCCGTCTGCTCCGTGTGTTCCAGGAACTCGTTCAGGAAGCTCACACACTGCGTGGCATCGAAGTACATGAAGCATAGGTTGACCTTGTGGCACGAAATGCGACCGCGGTCATCGAGCACCAGCAGGATCTTGTGGCGCATCAGCTGCCGATTGACGCGGGCCAGGCACTTTTCCAACCCGCGCGACAGGCGCAGCTTCACCCACATGCACAGGAAGATGGCCGCGGCGTTCAGGAAGAGCCATCCAACGCCCAGGGCGAACAGGGCCACGCCCTGCAGGCCCGAGAAGAGCAGGGCCAACAGAACGGTAAAGGCGAACAGGATCCAGCAGACCAGGATGCGCTTGTAGCAGATGTTGTACACGGTGAAGCGGTAGTCGTTCACCAGCGTCTCCATCGCATTCACATAGTCCTCCACGGTGAGCTGGGGGATATGGTTTACTAGTTAGGATATCTTGTGATTAATTTTGGTATTAAATGCTCACCGTCAGACCCTGAGCCATCAGCTCCTCGGGCACCAGCTCCGGCCGGAATATGGCAGGCGTTATCCACGGCCATTTGGTGTTGGCCGGCAGGAGTGTGACAATCACATCGCCATTTGCTGTCGGTCATAAAATTAAAGTGTATATTTAGTTTATTATTCCCTGCTTAAATCATTTTGGGAATAAACTTTAAACAGGTACGTTTTATTAGCCAAAAAGCAATTATAGGTAAGAAGTTAGGATCATACTAAATCAGTTTAAAAGCACTACTGAAAATACAAGGTCTCATATTTTCTATTATAAGATTTGTTAACCTTCGTCCATAAAATGTTACTCAAGGTTTAGGTAAATTTAATATTAAAATAGAGCTGGGGTAATTAAAATTCTTGTTATCTCGATATGCCAAATTAAATAAAAATGTTTATTTGTAATGAGAGAATATTTATCATTATAAATTAATTATTCAATACTAAATTTTTTAATCAGTAAAATTATTTTTACATACAAACAACGATCAACGATTAATCAAGCTTTTAATTTAGTATCTTTCCTAACCATTTATAAAGACCCAGAAAAAGAGATCCTTAAGGGTCCCCACAATCACTCACCGAATCCCTCGCGGATGCGACCCGTTGACAGTTCAATTGTGCGCATCCCGGATCCCTGATCCGCCGGCTGGCTAATTCCCGTGCCGTTGGCGCCACCTCCATTATGATGATGGCTGGAAGATGCCGCTGCAGCCGATGGAGAAGGGGCAGCGGTGGCTTTTTGGTTTATTAGCTGCGCGGGAGTGTGTCGTACCGGGCCACTCGCACTTGCAGTTGCAGTTGCTCCGCTGACAATGCCACTGCCGGATGCACTCAGATTAACGTGCGTGCTCTCGGTTGTCAAAACAGCGGGTGCCACATCCGGCAAGGGGGCCTGATTCTGATTCAGCACCTCTCCCGGTGTCGCAGCTGTGGTCGAGGAAACGGCCGGTCGCTGCGAAATGGCCGAGAATAGTGGGTTAATAATGCAACGGTCTTGGCCTTAAGACGGCAATGGCCCAAGGGTCAAACGGTGGCCAGCCGCAAATAAAATTATGCAAATGGTCAGGGAAAATCCATATTATTGATTTATTGTCAGGCGTTTAAAGCTCGCCTAAAACCTATATCTATAAGTTCGCGCACAATTGCACAGCTAACTGAAAACAATTTGGAACAGGGCACGTTCTCAGTTGACAAACATGGATTTGTGAAGGCAATCCACTGCCTTCATAAGGTGACTGCCATTGAAAATCCGAATGCGATTTATTAGTCTTCGCTAAGCTCTAAAAAAAATGATCTTCTAATAGAATTAAATATTAGGTATACTTCTTTCGTTTGTTTTTGAGATTCTGTAGTTTTGCTATCTTTGCCGATAAGCCAAACAAACAGAGATAATTTTTGGTAATTTAATAACCAAAATTATGCAAACTATAATGCAAACTACAATCTGATAGTCTTAGATAAACAAAAGATTAGTTGGGAAAATGTTGCAGAAACTGTAACAGTCAAATGTCTTATCTAAGTACAATTTTTCTCTGAATTTATACTAAGACTGTGACTAATGTTGATTTTGATAGCAAGGAAAATATTAGAGTAGAAAGGGTAAGCTATACAAACGTATAAATAACTAAACAATTTCATGCTATAAAATGCCAAACACAAAACACTGAAATTCTGTCGCTAATAAATATTTTTAAAATGAGAGTGTCAGGGTTGTATAAAGAAATTGAAGGCTACAAGCCTGTTGACAACCACCGAAGTGAGCGAAATGAAATATACCAAGATAAATGACAAATATTTACGACAAAAAAAGCAAATTATCAGGTGAAATATTTCAACAGTCGCATGTTGCCATCGGAGTAAACATTTTGTTTACATTTTCTTACTGTGCTATTCCTGTGTGATCATGTCAATAAAAATGTATAATAATAAAAATATTTCTTTGAAGAAACTGTAACTAAGATGAATCAAATGTAAATTTCGCACATTAAGTATGTGCTACGCTTAGAAGAAAATCTTTCATCATATGTGTTAACATCTTTGAAGAGAACTTCTGTGACATGGTGGCAAACAAACAATCGAAAAACATCGCAAGTAAAGGTAGGTTGAGTCAGAGTTTATCACCGGATGGGACCCGTTTCAGCTTTAACTCTCAGCTGGGCCCCAACTTCATTTGTCATGCTTGCAACGTTCCAAAAATTCAAGCAAAGGAAAGTTAAGAACCAAAACCACTTCACATAACAACTCCATTAAGCGGAATCAGAAAAAAGTACAGTGAAATTTGCTATTAACAGAGAAACTTTCAACTAGATATAAAAAATATAAATTTCATTAAGTAAAATAAAAGAATTAAAAATTGTGTTGATTAAAACTACATTTTTCATCAACATATTTAATGTGTGGTACATGAAAAGTAAAATCCGAATTTTATATAATGTCTAAATTATTAAATTTATTAGAGAGAAATAAATTGCAGCCAATTTCATGCTCATTGATTAAATACAATTGTGATTGTTAAATAAATCGTTTCTCTGACAATTGTGAAGATACCAATACTTGTTTATTCTATTTGTTTATTCTATTTCAGTAATGTAATGTACCACATTTATATCTTGCCTCTTTCTAACTAGTTTAATTTAATTCGGAGCTACCTTGTTATTTTCTAAAAATAAAACAAGGTGAATCTTAGCATTAACTGACGCTTTTAAATACAAATTTTTATTTTCAAACAAGAGATATGTATCCTTTTTAAAACATTAGATTCTTTTTTAAATTTGAATTAATGAGAGTTTTTCAATATAATTCTAGTAATAACCTCTCGATTTTAAATACAAATTCTTAATATTGTATTTCTTAGTCGATGTTTTTTTCGAATATTCCACTAAATCGAGAGTCCCCTGTACCGCCAAACGGGTGTGCGAAAGAGAGGGCCAACAAGGGCCTGACTTGCATTGGAATGCGTTTTCGTTGCGTTGGGTCACCACCAGGCGAGAGCGAGAGGGGGCGAGGGGGAGTCGGAGAGTGAGACAGTGAGAGAGAGTGAGTAAGTTACCTGGACAGGTGTGGTTGTTGTTGTTGTTGCTGCTGCCGACGGACTGCGCGAGCGCGCCCGCCTGTTGTTGTTGCTACTAACCACCGACGGTGGCGGCGGCAGAGCTAACTTGTTTGGCTGTTGTTGTTGTGGTTGCTGTGTGGCATCGCCGTCGTTACTGTTATTGTTTTTTTCACCGCCGTCCGCCTCGTCGTCGAATTTAACCCAATTTTTGGGCGTCTGCTTGTCGTCATCGTTTCCATTGAGGGAAACGTCCTCCAAAGGATGACTTCGCGGCTGCGCCTGCGCCGGAATTTTCGCGTCCTCCATTGCGAATGCGTAATGAAAACTGAACAGTTAGCGCGTGCTTGGAATTATCGGGAATTATTCCAGGTGAGCGTGTGACCTGACTTTAGTATGCAGTTGCGTTTTGTTTTCGCGACTTTACTATAAATTGTTACATAACCTCAATATGAATTCACACTTCAGTTGCGCCGCTGCCTATTATCGAGTTGGTTGTTGTTGTTATTTTCTTTGTTGTTTTTTCCACAGCTGCACAACGCGCCGCTTACGTGTTGGCCGCTCGCGAGTTCACGTCGAACTGCCGCCTCTGCCGCGCCCAGCAACAAAAAAACAGCCACAAAAAACCCACACACACAAAAGGCAGGGCGAAAAAACATTTGGCTCAGAGCGGAAAGCTCGGCTCAAAGGCGCGCTCAGGCCGCGTTCCACTGCCAATCGGTCCGCTCTGCAAGCTCACCTGTTGCCGAGCTTTTCCGCTCCCACACTCAGAAAAACTGTTCGAGATCAGCCTGATCTTCAGAAAAAAAATTGTGTGCCATTTCTTTTGACCAAAAATGAAGTGACATAATAGGCATTTTATTTATTTAAGATATTTTTTTTTAATTTTTAATAATGATCTTCATTATTTCCTTTGCAATATAGATTAGGTCACCGAAAATCAAAGAATTCTTTAATCAATTTTGTATCAAAATCATTTTACTATATTTTCATATTTATAAATCCAATTAATACTAAAAAATAACACATTTCTTTCGGTGTAATTGAATATTTATCTTATAATAGAACCACTCTCTTTCTCACGTTCTGGAGTTTCTGTTTTGGTTGCTCACATGACATGTCTTGAGCTTTTTCCAGTATCTCCAGCTCCCCATTGTATCTGTATCTCAGTGAGTCACAGGTCCACCGCAATGATCACTTTTTTATCTTTGCTTGTTTAGAGATCGCAGCTGTAGCTGAATATTTCGCAAAGCAAACACCTCTTTCCGCCGCTGCTGCACTTGAATGATAAGCCACGCCGCGTTGTCTCCGATTTCAAAACCAATAAACACCTCTTATCAGTCGCAATTAGAGGGTGGAATATTCACACCCGGCTATCGGTCAGATTTGCAAGAGCTTGAGCAACTTTTACCACCTGTAGAATATTCTTACGGACAGATAATCCTCAGACCTACCATGCGCCAAAGAGGCAATAAAAGAAGTATGGAGACATTGCACCCTAGAAGTTGAATTTAATGATCGTTAGTTCATTTAATATTATTGACCTTTTTTTAATATTTATTTATTTATAATAAAATAACTTTGCATGAAATTAATCCTGGTATTATAAAGATAGAGCATAAAATTGTTAATGGAGAATGATGGTTCAGCTCGATGGTGAAAATATTTCACATATTCCAATGTTCCACATTTAAATTGGCGTTGCCATCTGCTTTAACAACCATTCCATTACCCCAATTTAGAGATTTATTTAGTGAAATTCCAAACGAAGAATGCAATTTAAAATCAATTTTGACGCTTGCTATGCCATTCAGAGCGATCGGGTCCTGTTTTCCATGTCCTCCTTTCGATAAGCGGAGCATCGTGAATTTATGGCATCACGGAGGGGCGGGTGGATGTGGCAAGGGGCAGGATGCGGATGCGGATGGCTGGACCGCATAGTTCACGCCTCGACGGAGCAACAAACATTTTTTGGCTCGAATAATATGAGAAATGCTAGAGAGCCCACAACATTATAGTGGCAATTGTTCGACTGGGCAGCCACAGAAAACTTTTGCCGTCCATAAATTATGCTGAAAAATTATTATATAAGCGGCCAGTGTCGAATGGCGCCGAAGAAATTGGCCCACAGCCAAGCGTAGAATCCGAAAAAGTCCTGGAAAATGTAGAGGGAGGCAGGAAGTGAGGGGTGTTCCCAACTATTGGCAAAAGTTGTTAGGCAAATTATGGCCTGGCACACAGAGGCATTCGAAACTGTTTCAGGAGCATTGGATACAATCTTTAGATGGTGCGCTCTGGGGCAGTTAAATGTAGCTGACAACTTAGAAAAGAAATACTTTCATAATTGTTTTAAGTTTCTGGAAATAAGAATATTACAATCAAAGTATAGAAAAATGTTTTGAAATAATCTTAAATCCATAAAAGTTACATAAAATCACAGCTACATAGTTTTAGCCTTACTTTACAATTTTCTTGCCTTGTAAGTCCTTTGAAGACTTTCCCTCCAACCCTTACCCCTCCAAAAACTTACCTAAAATAAGTATTTTCCATTAAGCCATAAATCGCTCAACAGGCCAAAAATCCTTTGTGACTCTAACAGACTGAAAAGCCACAGAATCTGCAGTTTCAGCGGGGTGAGGGAGGGTTTGAGGGGAAGCCAGTGAAGCGGGCAAGCAGCCAGCCAAGAGTCTAATTAGGCCAAATTAATTGCCTGCGCTTTTGACACTTGCAAAGACTGAATCGGCCCAGGCCCAAAAGAGTCAACAAGACAAAAGACGGCAAGACAGCCTGCTGGCGAGGAGAAACCAAGTACAACACTCGAAAGTCTATTTGCAACCGACCTCAGTAATACCCCCACCCCCCACACTTCTACAACAGAAAATAAATATTGAATTTAAAATATTGAATATTTAATAAAACATATTTAATTGCATGATTTAATTGAAAATATTTAAATCAAGGCGAATTGAAGTAATACTTAATTTTTAAAATTTAAGTCTTAAAAAAATTTAATTTTGATATCAAAGTCTTACATTTTAATTTTAAAATGTTCTATGTAATGTAAAAACTATTAGAAAAACACTTAGTTTAAAAAATGTAAGTCCTAAAAAATGTCCTTTTGATGTCCAAGTCTGTCATTTAAAATTTAAAATATTATATATTTGTTAAATTTAATATTTTCAATATTCAAATAATGTTTAATAATTTAAAAATATATAGTAAAACTCGTAATTTTTACAATATAGCGAAAAATATATTAATATATTATGAAATCTCTGCAGTTACTACTTCCTTTTTTTTTATCAGTGTACTATTCTCCTTCTGCCGGAAAAGAGTAATGTTGGCAATTTGTTGGTCGTCGTCTTATTAACCCGCAACAGGAGACGAGCAAGTTGGCGGCAACTTTTTGGCCAACGCGAGAATGTCCAACGGGCATATAAATTAGCCGAGACAGAAGTTTTCACTCCTCCGATACCCCTCCTCCGTGGAGCATCTTCTGCTGATGAAAAGACAGGCAAAGTTTTGGCGTCAAAAAATGTTTTCAAATTAAGCTAATTTATATTATATAAACACGCCTAATGAGTTCCCGGGCGAAGGCGCTAAAAAAGGGTGGTCATAATTTCTGAGGAACATCTAGTGGAAATACTCTATAAGTATGGTGAACATTTTGATTCGACTCGTCCACCTTTTAAGACCCTTTGAAAATGGCAAAAGTTTCCCTGTTGCTCTTGCTTTATTTTTATTTTTGTTAGTGCTAGTGTTTTTGTTTTGCCTTCACAGTTGGCTGGCGGAATTAACGTGACTTGCATAACGCCCGAAAGTATGCAACGCGGCTGTAAAGTGTCACCATCACCATCACCATCACCATTTGCTGCGAACCCCGAACCTTTTTGCTCCTTTGCTCCGCAAGGACTCCTCGCTGCTCTGTGCGAAAATAAAAACAAAAAACAAAATGCAACTGGGGAAACGTGTCACAAACTTTATGCTTCTGCCACGCGTCACGCACGCGATTTTCGCTTAGTTGTTTGTCACTTTGTCGCCGCCTTTCTGCCGCCCCAGAATCTGCAGCTCCTTACTCCCTTCGACTTGGCCAAGAGAAATGGCGCTGGAAATTAAGTGAGCTGCCATGGCCGGAGCGGCATAAATTAGTGAGCTGAGATTTGAACCGAAGCGGACTTCAAACTGAAGTAAAATAACGACAATTTTCACTTGCGACAAAGTTTTCGGAAACGGAAGTTTATGAATCTACAGAGGGCTATATTTATAAGTTATTGGGATTGTGTTTACAGGACTAACAAGAAATCTTTGGAGAGTAAAAGCAATAAATATTCCATGTAAAAGAGATTATTTAAAAACTTGTTAGAGTGTAATTATTTACCCAATTCTTAAGCTTTCCTTAATCCGAATTTTACATTTTGTAAGCTTGACAAATCTTTACGTCTTTAAAATACCTATCCCCAATTTAGTTACAATTTAATTAATTGAATTACTTAATGACCAACTATGAGTTTCCATTTCCATTTGCTAACTGTTGCCACATTTGAAAACCACTCGAGTTTATAATAACTCACAACATGTTGCAGAAGAAACCACAGACTTGAGCTACACATGAACATGAACGGGTTGGCAACAATGGAACTGACATCACAATGGGCCAGAAGCAAGAGGTCGACCAGGAATGTTGGTGGTGCTCGACTGTTGTTGGCACATGTCACCTTTCATAAAACATAGAATCACTTTGGGGTTGCAGCTATATGGCCCTTCACACGGAGCCATCTGGCCAGGAGTAGCATGTGGCCAGCACAAAGCTGAAGGCTGACTTGAAGGAAACATCGGGCAGCTTTCCCTCCAAGTGGGCCAATCTCGGCACTTGAAAATTGAAACGTTCAAATGTGAGTGCGAGTGATGGAGATGTATTTGACCGCCAAGTAGCCAGATTTGACAGAGGTACAAGTGCAACCAATTCCCCTAGAAAACCCCTTAGCAAAGTGTTAAGTACTAATTCAAGTGCCTAAGGCACATAAGTTTGCAAATAATAATCAATAAATATGAAGGGTTCTTCAAATTGTCGTTGAAGCGTTGCATTGTAGTTTTACATATTTGCTTTTAATATTTAATTTTTTTACTGTTGCATTGATAAAGAAGTATATTTTAAGAGATTTCTTACATATTTTTTGATTAATGTAGGTATTTTCACAATTAAAAGTATACAAGTTTCATTTAAAAATGTTCAAATTATATTTAATTATGTTTATGAACTAATAATTGAAATGGAAAATATAAGGATTTTTTTACAATGTATTTAAATAATTACGGAAATGTAAACAATTATGGAAAATCATAGAATGTTGAAATGTTCGAATCACTTTGAACAAAAAATATAAATAATTTACTTTCATTTAATTTACAAAGCATTTAAGCATTCTAATTGATTAATCTAATAGAATTTAAATATGACAAGCTCCAAGCCCAACTTTAAACCATCTTAGGCAGATGGACAGCTCCCCCAGCTCGTTGCCTCCGGTTTCTCCGTAGCAACTGCCACTTCAGCGTAAATCATTATAATAATTTAACTAGAGGACCCTCGCGGAATAAAGTCAACGGTGAAAGTTTTCCAGAAACCAGACACGGCGGGTAAATGGGAGGGGACAGACAGCTGGACATCTTCAGACCGAAAAACGAAAAACGCCAAATGCATTTAAGTAGAAAATCTTGCCAAAAAAGAGAAGAAAATCCAGACGAGTACATGCCGTGATGCTTAAACGTTCTGCCCGTTTTTCATCTGTGGAGGCACTTTTTCCTGGTCTTGAAACTAGAAACTCGACTAGAAAAACAGTAGTTTGCTTTATTTAAAAATCCCATGGCAACAACTTTGCCAAATCAGTGGCGAGCTGACCAAATAAAAACCTCACAACTTGCACCAGCAATAATAAAATCATATTTAAAACTTTCACACCAAAGCAGAACAAAAAAAAAGAAATAGAGCGACATGAAACGAAGAAAAATATGAAAAAGTAGCAAGAACTTGCCGCATTTCCATAACAAAACTTTTGCCTTAAAAACAGAAAAGTGTTTTGAGCTACTCGACACTAGGCAAAACAGCACAAAGAGTGAAAAAACATTCTGAAAGTAGCCAACTAAACTTTTATTAAAATTGTAAATATTTATCAACATTCATGAACCGCAACCGCAGCAAACATGGTTTGGTACCATGGATGAATATTCCTGATAAAGTTTTATGAAAAGAATTTGAATTTTCTTAGAATTTAATTGCCGATTTTATATCAAAGTACGAATTCTTTAGTAGATTAAACTCAAGTCGCAATAAATTATTTTTCTTTTCAGTTTTCCTAAAAAAAAGTGATTTTTAAAATGACTTTTAACTGTGTCTAAAAGTATGGAATAATATTTTTTAGTTTTGGAATTTTTACTCTATCGAAAGACGACTGTATTTTGCCTTATAATTTTCTTAATAATTTAAGAAACCATAATTAAATCTACCTTGTTAATCACAGTTCCACCCCGATTTTCTTACATCACACAGCAAACCATCCACAGCAATGTTAATTACACACAATGGGAATTCATTTGATAAACGTCTAGTTACTGCAGGCTCATTTAAGAGCCGGATTTAGTCTGGCCACAACTATGCTGAAGTGGGAATATCTCGTTTCCTACTTAAACAGCATAAACATCGTTTGCATCCGTGCTCAACCCAGTTCTCAAGCATTTTCCGCCAGACTCGAAAACAAAAGGGGCAAATTTGCATTGCATAAAATTAAAGCAAGCGAGGGTGTTTAACATATGTAATTTTTGACAAACAGAAAGACGAGCGAAGCGGGGAGAAACCGCGAAAAGAAACTGACAGCGGCTCGTATTAATGCAATTTAACAGGGCGTATGCATAATATTTAGCTAAGCCGAAGCCAAAGGGAGCGATGAGCGAATAGCGAGGCGGCGAAACTTAATTAAAAATATGCGCGCATAATTATAACTATATTTAGCAAGCAACAGCAACAGCACATGTGCATTAATTTCGCATGCAAAAAAAGGAAAAGAAAATCCGGGGAAGCAGCTGCACACAAAAGCCCAACGCGAAAAAGTATGCTACACACTACTTCTATTTTTTTCGCCTCTGTAAGCGGCCCCTGCTGATGATGATGATCCTGTGCCGGGTTTTGTCAACACGCCGCCAACATCCTGCCCTCCTCCTCGTCCTTCTGGTGTCCTGATGAGCGTCAGCAGTTACCGTAAATTATTTTATTTATACCGTTCGCCGGACGGGCGGGAAAACGGCACCCAGCTAGCTGTCTGTGTGCTTGACTTAATAAAATAAATTTAGAAGCTGCCTGGCTCGGGGATTCACCTCCTTTTCCCCCCTTTTTTCCCAGCAAAACGGCAAAATGTGCATAATGCCAACGTGTGTGTGTTCGTTGGCTTGCCGTTTATTATTTATGCATGCTGTGCAACATTTTCACCCAGCAGCTGCACAACAAACGCGAAATCGTGCCACGGCTGCCTGGCCATCAGATTTTTTTTCCTTCGAGCCTCGCTTTGTTTTCAGTGTACATTGGACCGAAAGAGGCTAAATTATAATGGTTATACAGCTCGATACCTGCGCTACGTATGCTTAAAACCCTTTTAGTGATGCTCTGGTAATTATAATTATTAAATAACTTTTTATCATAAAATATAAAATGCTTAAATAAATAAGTTAAGTAATTAATAAATATATCTTTTTTTATAAATTTAATAATTCATAAATAATAAAACCAATTAAGATTAAAATACAAATTTCGTAAATTTTCTCTCTTTAAAAAATCCCCCTACGCTACTGAACCCTTATATTAAAATATTAGGCGTATCAATAAATTCGGTATGCATATTTAATAGAAAATATCCGTAAAAACTTCAGAGCAGCGAGACTTTCTCATAAATCAGAAATCTTCTTGAGTATGACGATATATCCAAGATGAACGCAAAGCAGTTAGTCCAAACAATACTCATTTTTAAGATTTTTCGGGTTTACTCCTTGTCAGAGGTGCCATCGAGTGGGTATAAAATAATATCAGAAAAATAAAACAAAATTATCCAGTTCTTATACTATTTCCCAGAGAAGTTCGGATTGTCTGGCCATGTAGATTGGCGAGTTAGCAACAAGCGGGAAAAGGTCAAGGAGATGATGCAGTTTGCCTGGCGAGGATATGCCGAAAATGCCTGGGGCTTTAATGAGCTCAACTCGGAGCTGGGCGTGCCGCACAATGAGAGTGTTTTTGGTAATCACCACATAGGCCTCACCATAATTGACAGCCTGGATACCCTCTATATGATGGGCCTGCAGGAGGAGTACGAGCGAGGACGCAAGTGGGTGGCCGAAAACTTTACTCTCGATTACATAGATGCCCATCTTTCCGTTTATGAGCTCACTATTCGCATCGTCGGTGGCCTGCTTTCTATGTACGCCCTCACAGGAGACGATCTGTATATGATGCAGTCTGAATATGCGTTAAGGAAACTTCTGCCAGCCTTTAATTCAACAGTGCACATACCGTGGGCCAGGATAAATCCTTCATCTGGTTCAGCTGCACCACATTCCTGGACCCCCGAATCGCTGCTGGGCGAGATTGGAAACCTCAATATGGAGTTCTTCTACACCAGTGAGATCACCGGACACCGGAAATACCGACCTTTAGTTCATCACGTGAGGGACAAGCTGGACATGTTGAGTAAGCCAAGGGACATGTATGCCGATTATGTTCATCCCAGGACGGCCATCTGGGGACCCTTGAAAATGTCCTTGGAGCCTGCGGGCGGCGGAGGTCTGTACGAGTGCATGCTTAAGTCGTGGTTGCGATCGAATAAGCTGGACAATCAGGCGCATGATCTGTATGTCAAGGCCATCCAACAGGTGATCAATAGTATGGTGGGACTGAGCTTCGGCGGGATGACTTATATAGGTGAACTGTCGAATTTCCATCTGATCCGAAGGATGAAGCACTCCACCTGCTTTGCCGGCGGTCTCTTCGCCCTAGGATCCTCTGCTTTTCATAATAATTCCCGATTGGAAGCCAAACACCTGCAGTTGGGCAAGGACTTGGCCTTAACCTGCCGTGAGAGCTATAGACGTTCTGCCACTGGCCTGGGACCAGAGTCCTTTCAATTCGACTCTGTGTCCCGGGAAGATGCCACCTCGAGGGAGAGCGATTCGAAGGCCTATCGGTTGAAACCGGAAGTGGTGGAAAGCTATTTCATATTGTGGCGCCTCACCCACGATCAGAAGTATCGCGATTGGGGCTGGGAGGTGGTGGAGTCACTGGAGAAGTATTGCCGCACCAAGTTCGGTTTTTCTGGCCTGCAGAATGTCTACGATCCGAATGGCGCCAGGGACGGAGTGCAGGGGAGCCACTTCTTGGGCGAGACCCTCAAGTTCCTGTACCTCCTGTTCTCCAAGGACTCGCTGTTGCCCCTGGACAAGTGGGTCTTCAACACCGCAGCCCATCCGTTCCCAGTTCGCTATGTAAACAAATTGTTCCGCGGCAATCAGCTAAAGCCCTATGTGCACTTTTCTATTTAATTTTAAATTGGCAAACTGACTAGAACAAGAAAAAACGAGTACCTCAACTATCAGATAAAGCCACTGCTTGCACTGCTTGAATTCCATTATTTGCTTATAACTTTTTAATTAATGGTCCGATTTTAAAAGTGTCTGGTAAATTCTAATAGGTATTAATAAGCATAACAAAATTGCATTTAAACTTTTCCGAAATCTTTCGCTGAGTAGAAACCCCAAAAATAAATGTGTTTAATCCCAACTTTCTAGATTTTACCTTACCAACTCTACAAGTAACGGGTATAAAAATGGCATAAATTAAAGGTAATCCCGACCAAATGCAATATAAAGTCAAGAATAACTGCTGCTTTTCATAAAAAATGTTTATTCTCTTAATTTTGCTATTTAATTGGCAGCCGTTCAAACAGTTGTAAAAGCATTTGTGTTTTCTTTTGTAACAATTGTATTACACAATTGAGTTTGACAACAATTTGCAAATTGTACGCTAACCGACCACAAAACGTTTCAATTTGAATTTATTTTTCACAGCGTTTTGTGTTCTATTTATTTTCACCTATGCGGCTTTGTTTGCCCGAATCATTTGCCATTTATCGTTTCATTGGTTTCGGTTTATGCTTTTATTTTAGCACCCACAATTGTTGGCATTTAGATAATCAAAATATATCACAATATTTTCAATTTTAATTGGCTACACAAAAGCAGAAAAACAAGTCGCACACAATTTGCATTGAAAACGGACTTAAAATGTTGCAATTTATTAAAGCTGAAATTTATGTTTTAAGATTTCGGATCTTGATTTCGCTACTGTGTAATTTATAATTGTGTAATTTAAGTTAAATTGGGTTTCAAGTTGGTTCTAAAACAACTGAATCATTTAATTAATGTTTATTGATTTAAAGATCTACGAATATATTTGAATTTAAGCCCGAAGGCTCAAAAATTGTTTGGTAAATCGCTTTAAAATTCCATAGACATGCGAAAAGTATTGTGGCCACAACAAAAGGCGGCAGTGAAAATGCACAGCCGCCACAATGTATCTAGGACAACCTGCAGCAGGCAGGACAATAAAATGGCAAGGAAAAGCAATTCTTTGTTGTCTTCTCCTTTTTTTTCCCAAGTTATTATTATTATTATTTTCTGTTATTTTAGAGCCATCGTCCTTTTCTATAGGACCCCGCTTGGGTCGACGAGCGGATCATTAAAAAAAATGAAGAGGTCGATTTAATAAATGTGGCTGGCCAAAGCAAACAGAGGCCCCGAGCAGAGCAAAGGATATATGGCTCGGTATCCTTGGGCACTCCATTGTGGCGTTGCCAAAAAATTAAAGCTGCGCCTTTGGTCAACAGTCTCTGTATGTTGCTCGTGTGGTTGGCGAAGCAATTTACAAAAGTTTTTCCATCAAAAATCCGCTGTCAGTATAAATATCCTTAAAATAGCCAACACGGCTGCTAAGCGGACACACACACGTACACAAGCGAACATACACTGGCGAACTCAGAGGAGCACATGGATGATGATGAAGGATCCCGGCCGCTTCCTGGCTGCCTGCACTTTGCTCCTGCCTGCAGCAATATGATTTATGGATGCATGTGCTGATATATGCCATGTGCCTCCTGTCTGTGCCACACCCCTCTACCTACTGCCCACTGAACACCACCCACCGCCCACCGCCTCCCTCCCCCCGATCCACTGCACGTACGACTATTGTTGGCGCCGAAAATTATGCTACAAAATTTTTCTCTCTCCATAACTTGCTCACACACACGCCTGCAAGTTGCACTCGTATTGGGCTCATCTATTTGTAGTTCAAACAAAGGAGGACGTGTTGCCAACACACACATACCCACTGGTAAATCAGAGCCACTTTAAATTGAGCATGTTACGTTGCATAAACCGTCTGAAGGACCCCACTTCGCCACTTCCCCAAAAACATAACTCCACTGGCTTACCGGCAAAGTGATGTGTTCACTATTTCTTTATCCTTCTCTCTTTCCTTCTGAAAGCAAATCTGTTTAAATGTTTGAGATGCGATTATTCCTCCTCCTATTGTAAAGTTACTCCTGGCAAGCAGAGATTTTTTCAAGGGGATTTGCAAGTCTTCGTTTTCCGGTCAAATGTTTGCGGAAGTAACTTATCAATAGCCTTTATGGGGAGCCAATTTAGGATATCAAATGAGGATACTTTTATTACCGGACTTAAACTTATAAAAAACAGGAAATTATTAAAAGGTGTCTAAAAGTATGCAACAATATATTTTTAGCCCAAAAGTGTTATGAATTCATACAGGAAGACGAGTATCCTTTATTGACTGCATACTTTTAGACACATATTTAGTCCTTTATAAGTGATTTTTAAAACATAACTAGTTTAAATCGTATAGTTGTTGCAAAAGAAATAAACATACATATTCAGCCAACCAGCCAACTTTTTTAGCCACAAATCGCCATCTCCAGAAACAGGGAAGTAAAAACGAAAAATCTTCCATATTTTTATGCATGCAAAACACAGGAGCAATCGGTGAAGGGAAAACGTTGAGTATAAATCCCAAAATCCGTGTACTTGTGCACGTTGATTGCTTGGTCCGTGATGGAAAACCCTTCTCCCCTGCCATCTCGCATCTTCTCGAAATCCTTTTGCCGGCTTTATCGATCAATCGACTTGCATTTGCAATTCCTTTCGATTTTCCTACAGCCACTTTATCAATTTGGCCAATGAAATTCAACAGTTCTGCTTTTAGATTTTATTCTTTCTTGTTTTTTAGTTGGAAACGTAAAAAGAAGAGGAAGAAGTATCAAAATCAAGAGGAAATACATCATTCATCATCGATGTGCTGTGCGAATTGGACCACTTTCGTGGCTTTCTATTGTTTGATTCGAGTACCTGGCTGTCTGCATTCCAATTGAGTTTTCAGATGAGAACTCAATTAACTGGATTGATTGGTTGCAATTATAATAATCAGACAAATCACTTTCCACTGGACATAACTTGTGCAATTATTTCATGTTGCTTTGCAGTTAACTTGTCAAAACTTTTGCTTGACTGTGCAATTGCTCAGTGTAAACATATTTTCAACACGTAGTAACTGTCTAATTAGCTTGTCAGATGAACATTAAAAATTTCATTGTTTCCTATCAACAAACGTCGGACAACAGGTGTCCCTAATCATGATAGTCGATTGAGAACTTTTGGTACCTTTTTCTTTGGCAGTAATCAGTAATCAAGTTCAATTGAGAAATTAATAACCTTTTTTTAATAAAATATTTTACAATATACACTCGCTTTATATGAAATATTGTAAGCCTGTTATACGTTTTACAAAATATAAAAACAATTTAAATACTTGTTATAAAATTTATTCGATTAGGTGTTTAAAAATAAAAACTTTAGTTATCTTTCGTCAAGAGAAACCATTACTTATGTACTACATATGTAACACTGTTGTCAAGTCAGCCAGCAAAGTATCAATATCGTTGTCACCTGTCCGAAACTGCACACCTAGCAACCGTTGATGGTAAGTCAATTACCCAGTGATTTTCAATGACTCGTTGCCTTTGGGCAGATAGCCCCAGCCCCTGTCCATCCAGAACTTCGGCTCAATCTCTGCCCGGTTCTTCGACGCTCTAACGAGATCTAAAACATTTCGCCCAGCTAAACGAAGTTCAACGCACTGAATAACAAGTAGTTTTCCCAAGCGCCGCACAATTTTCCTATTCCCATTTTCCGTGTGTGCCTTTTTGGTCCTGCGGCTGGCGTTGCGGAAGACTGGAGCAAAAGCTGACTTGAGACGGCATCCAAACTGAATCCTAATGAGGTGCACATATTCTGTTGGTCATATGCGGCGTATACTTGATGCAGGTCGGGCTGTGGGAAACACTAATGAGCAGCTAAATATTTGTTGACAGTCCAAATGCCAGCTCAGCGCTAATTAATAGCTTTGTAAGCTACAGAATTTGATCCCTTTGTGCCGCTAATAAATTCGCCATTGTCAACAAATTAATATGACATTTTATTTATTTGCGATGTGCATAATTATGAATTATGCATTTTACATAGAGACAAACAAAGTCCGTAATTTAAATCCGTTTATCTAACCTTGCCCCATCGCCGGACTTCAATAATTATTCCCATTTGATTATGGTTTTTCCATTGTGAATTTTTTTCATTTTTCTCTCATTTTGTAATGGTTACATAATCCCTCTGTGTGCTCCGCTAACCACCATCGCATTGAAAGTACAATTTTATTTACTTTAATTAAAATGGATTAGTTTTTTTCATTTGCGTGTGCATATTAAATAACTTTTTTTTCACTACGACTCAAACATAATGAGTGTTGTAGTTATTTGAAAAAATTTTAACTAATTGTATAGCTCTTAATTTAATAATTTAACAAGGTATTTAGATATCAAATGTTACTTTAGAATCAAATAGATAAATATAAGCTTCAACTCTTATGGCAGCAAAAATCATCAAAATCTGAACAAATTGGACAAAACAAGGGGACCAAAACCGATAAAGGAGCAAAGAAGAAGGATTTACTCAACGAAAAGGGATAACAAGAAGGCCCAGAACAAAAACAAAAGCGCGTTGATGTATGATGTTGCCAATTGTTTGAAGTAAATCAAACGGCACCGAGCTGGCAGAATGGTTGATAGGATGGGAGGCTGGGAGCCGGATAAGTAAGTGCAAGCCGGCAAAAGGCACATCCTGTGGTCGAGGCCTCAATGAAGCTACAAAGCAACCGTTGCCAATGATTGCCAAGTCCTGGCCGGTCCTTATGCTATTGGGCTTTATGCCAGTTTCTGCCTTGGGCTGCCAGGGTAAACAAAGCGCATTGAAAAATTGCCAGGAATAAAGTAAGCGACCAACTGCCGGACAGAGACGGACAGAGCCGCACAGTGCCGGCCAGAAGCATGCGCCCATGTCCGTGTGTTGACAGCTGTAAGAGGGGTAGTGTCATTTATATTTCTGTTACCCTGCCGCAACCGATTTTTCGGCCCAGTTTG